CTCAGCCTTCAGCTGACTGCTCCTGATTCCCTCCAATAAATATCTCCCTAGAGCCTTCTTACATTAACACTCGCTCCAGCACAAGTACTGTACACCGAGTTCTCCTGAGGAAGATCCTAAAGATCTGGATATACAGTATTAACTCACTAATCATGCAAGAGGATTGCAGTGAAACACAACATAGAGAAGAATGGCTAACACACTGACTATGGAGTAAGCAGAACAATTAAGAGCTTTTTCTTTCGATAAACTTGTCTTTACAGATCTCTGAAAACAATGGTAGGATTCAAAGTCACACCAAATTGTCTACATGTTTTTAATGTCCAATAATCTGACAAACATGGTCTTTTTTATTACTTAGTATTTTGTATTTATTATAAAGTGAGAGCTGATTCCAGCAGTGTTGCAGTTTCCATTAATCTGAAACCATTACTGTGATTGAAACACATAGTGGCATCCCTCTGTATCTTGATGTATGTCTTTTTCCTAGTTTGGACACCATCTTAATGACATCCTGTTGGAGTTCCCCCAGCACGCAATGTTCATGTTATGACATACTGTACATAGAAGCACACCATCAGCCTTAAGGACTGTCTTCAGTAGTTTAAATACCCAACCATGATCCTTCCTTTTGTTCAAATAAACATGGTGCGTGCTGAAGAGAGCATAGTTTGATTGTTACCAAACAGAAGAGCACACAGCATAGTAAGAGCCACAGTGTTATAGCACAGCTATCATTACAGGACTGAGTTGAGAGCTCTTCATCCCACTTCCAAACTGCTTGAGCACTTTGTCTGTACATACATGCACACATGCTCTGTTCACACACATACAAAACCCTGCCACTCAGTCTGGATTTTATTTCCTAGTCATAAGTCTTTTTCTCCCCTGGGTGCTTTGACATTGGTCAGGCTCATTATGGTAAACACATGGAAGGCCAATTTAGATATCCCTTAATGCAGTTACGTAATCAAAAGCCATGATGATACATTTGTTAAATACCAGGAAACTGCAGAATGATGTCCAGCCTTTTTACTGGTGAACCGGAGACATTTCACCCAACCTATCATGTATAAATACAAAGGCTTACATTTCCAGGAACAGAAAGGCAGTTTGGGATAAAGAATAGCTTTAATAAAGCTTAAATCTCTTGGTGAAAAATGCTGATATGCTGTTTCTGAGGGGAAACATCGTTCACTTGAGTACCATGCTAAACCAATGTAAATGGTACAAGTAAAGGGTGCTGCTGTACCAGTTAGTTAAAGACTGGTGCCTACCTGAATGGCCAGGGATTTGGGCTTTGTTTAGTTTACTATGGCAGCTGATACTGCACAGTTTAACACATGCTTCAGGCAGAGCATCAGTAAGTCTTATTTAGGCAAGGTATGTGAGTAAACTCCTTGACATGCGAGTTTAAATGGATTAGAATGAGGCTTTGGATACTGTCCTGCATTTTTCTAATGGCCGGAGTCAAAGAGGAAAAAAAAAGATATTTCATATTTAAAAAAAACATTTGAAAGGTTGGATGGACTGGCCATAAAATCATAGTGCAAGCAGGAGTAAATCAAGGCTAAAATGAAGATCTATTATCCAGTGCTGCTGTAACCTAGTAAACACACACATGGCATTAAGCCTGGATGAACAAACAGCAGCCTCCTCTGGCACTCAAGTGGGGCTGTGTTTGCTCAGCTACGTTACTGCTGCACTGCCCCGGTGTCCAGGGAGAGTTAGTCAGGGTCAAGCTCATGACAACTTCTCAAAATCAGCGCAGAGTTAAGGGAGAGCGGACCTTTCCTCCCTAGTCGCATGAGAAGCTTCCAGGCTGCCACGGGTCTGAGCAGTCAGCAAGTCAGGCGGCGAGCTCCGGGCTGGGGTCAGCCGTGCTGCTGACAGCTCCTGTTCCAGCCCTCGGCCCTCTGCCAATGCTGCATGCGGCCCCAAGCAGCCTCTCTTTGCCATTCCTGCTCGAGTTTTTTCTATGCGGTCTGCGGCTGGGAGGCAATGAGGTGCAGAGGGAAGAGACAAATCTACCACCCCCTCCAATACGCACACACCCTCCCCAGCTGCCAGCTTGCCTTCTACCACTACAGAGCTCAACACTGGCCTCCTGTGGCCGTTGCCTGAATAGCAGAACTGCAGCACAACAGCTGCTCTGAATTCTTCGCAAACAGCAAAGCTCTTATGCAGAATTCAAAGACACATGGAATGGCTTCAAATCTTCAAGCTATACTGCATACACATAAAGACCATGATGATTGCATCGGTACAGTTTGCTCTAAATGCAGTACTTTTTGTTTGTGGACAATGGCATCTACAATACTTTGATTATGATAATGGAAAATGGAGAGATAAAAGCAACAAAACCTAAGCAACATGAGCAGCAGAGACCCGGCATAGCAGAGTACAAGAACAACTGCCTGATTAAACTAAAGGCCAAGTAAGGTTTCTAATATCTCCGAAACTCAGGAATTCCCCTTAAGAGAAATGCTGTCACAACTTAAAGAGATATGATATGTCCTCCTTTGACACTGCAACATAGTTGCCAAAACCTGGAATTCATAAAGTCATCCTCCAAAGCCATCCTGGAGCTATTGTCCAGTAGGATTTATTTGTCTTTTGATCATTTTACAATCATCGGCCTTTTAAGATTTTTGGCTGGAAGTTTGCCACCCTTCCCTGTGCAAAGTCAAGCTGTTTCTCAGAAAAAGACTCATCAGAACATGCTGTGAGACGTCAGACGCATGTCAGCTACTGTGTATGAGTTGTTAAGTGACCACCCCTGCCACCTGCCCTGATCCAGGGGGCCATGTGGGTGTCGTCTGCAATCTTGCTGAGCAAGCGACAGAACAGGATGAAGCTGCCGGAGGTTGTCGGTGGGGTTTCAGCCCACCTACGAGCCAGCAGAGCTGGAGATTTAAATAAAGAGCTGGAGTTTACATTCCTGCAAAGATCCCTCAGCAAGCCTAGAATTACGTCACCTCAAATCAAACCGTGGAAACGGTACCGGGGGGACAGATCACTTTATGCTCCATTTATGCACCCTCAGGTATTTTATTAACAAGCATGAAATAACATTTTCAAGACACTGTCATCCGCAATGCCCAGCGATTAGGGTCCACTGCTCTTCATTGCAATTTGGACACAGGAGACCTGTTTAGATTTGCTCAGCTGTCAGAGCGTTTTTTTTCCTTATTTTCTAAAAAAAAATATTGTGCTCAGCTCAGAAACCATTGTGATCCTAGTGTCCATAGAATCCAGCTGTCTAGACAAAGAAAAAAGTCCCACTCCCTTAGTTTTTACAGGTGCTGAGTGATTAATGTTACCAGGCTTATATTTTGAATTACTTCCAACATAACAGATAACACAGTAACAGCTTTTAAACACTTACAGTATGACCTAATTGTAGATACAAATCAATTTAGTAAGAAGGACGAAAAAGACATTTTTACATTCCTAGGCTAGGTTACATTAGATATTCAAGAGATTACTTAAAAGACAGCAGACAGATTGAAGACACATTTTATTTAGATCAATTTCTGCTGGAAATACCACTATTCTACATTATATTTTGAAAAATAAAAAAACACAGATGTAATATATTTCCTACTTCAGATGCAAAGAAAACCTTGTCCTTATGGTTCCATGGAAAAAAAAACACAGACAAGAGAAATAGCATCTTTTCTAATTGAAGTGACTGAGTTTTTACCTAACATGGCACTAAGCCAATCAGTCTATAAACAGCATCACTGTCACTCTACTCACAGTGACAACCAGTGACACTGCATACCTACTTTAGACAGCAGCACACTACATTACTGAATGCTGCAGGATATCCTGTGTCCACCCACCAGGATCATGTGCCACTGGTAAGGTCTGCATTCTGCTTTTTTTGGTCATTTTGTCCAACACACTGCCAGCTGCGATACTGAGCACTGACGAGGGCAGTGAAAATTTAAACAGGGCAAGATAAAGATGTGTAAAGAGCACCTGCCTCACAACCCAAATGCCAATATTTAAATTGTAATATGATGAAGTAGAAAAAGGTTAAAGATGATTTAATTATGCTGTGGTTTATTGCAGTGCTTCATTATTTTTAACTAGTGTTCCTCAACCGTGCTACCTGGAGGGAATCCTTTCCCATGTTGCTCTTCAAAAAGATCACGATTAATAATGACAAAGGGCTGAACACAGGCAGATTTACTAATAGATAATAGAGCCCTGCTTACAGGACATCAGTATCCATCCTTTAATTAACCGCCTACTCTTGATTTTGTTTAATTGTAAGCCTTTTAAGCAAAGAAACATTGTGTGCTGCTGTTGATATTTGTACATTTTAAAACTTGCTTAAATATGTTTGCATATTAAAGAATCTGACTGCACTGCTAACTGGCTGAAACCACGAGAGTGCTATATTTAACTGCTATACACCTCTGTGCTGCTTCTACCATTACTCATACTACTGAACTTAAAGTCACAACCATCCAAGGCCGTGTATGGTATATGTTAAGCTTTAGCAGTGAAAAAAGGAGTGAAAAAGCCAGAGGAGGGAGGGATATTGTGCAATTAATAGAACAAAAAAAATAATTTAAAATAAAACCTTATGTGCTGGTACAATGCATTGCCAATACAATATGTGCATGAGAAATTTTCACCAAAGACACTCCAGCCAAAGTGGTCCCATGGCTCAGGGAACTGAGATTGCTGGAAACAATTCAAGAGTCTAAGTGTGTGACCAGCCTGGATCTACACACACAGCACTGCTGAAGAAAGCAGCAGGTGATAGAAGTGTTTCCAGACTGCAAGAGTGTATGCCTTCCAATACCTCCATGAGAGAATAAAGGAGGGGAGCAGGCAGAAAATCAGCTGATCGATTTTGTCCCTGTCTAGATTCCTGATACTCCGCAAGAGGTTCGGGGTGGTTATGTTATACTGTATAAGTAAGTACCTGCACGGAGTTGAGCGCTGAGCAGTCCAGTGTGCTCTATGGGGATGTGCCATACCTGAAGCTATCTGGGTGCTGGCTGAGAGCCAGGTTGATTGTGTCTAGAGCAAACTGGTAGTGCTTCTGGGCGCTGAAGAGCAGACACAGGAGATGCAGCGAGTGCAAGTCATCATTGCGTAGGTTTAAGGCTCTCTGGAGGGGCTCCATGGCTGCTGACACCTATCAGCAAAAACAGATCTAAGATGGAAGGACTCACATTCTATTTGAGATGAGCCATTTCAGATTGTACTAACTGGACACTTTTCTGTATAAGGCAACATTGAGTGCTATATGTGTTGAGCTTGTTACCTTGAGTAGACCTGCACAGATACTATACAGTATGTATGCAGAAAATGCATTACATACTGTACTATTCTACATATTTATCAACACAGGTTGCAGAAGAGATTGTATCATATAACCCGCCAATAAGAATCACACTGTCATCTGTGAGTACAAGTAAGAAAAATCACACAAAAACTGCATGTCGAAGTATTCATTTCAATTGGCAGAATTTTCTATTACTACAGTGTATCAGTGTCAGAACTGCTCCTGGGACAAGCTTCTACAATGAATCTGATTCCTTTCATGTTACAGTAACATGAACACTACCCCCAGGGGAAAGAGAAACTTCAAATCATCTTTAGCTTAAAAAAGCACAACTAAGGTGGTGAATGACAGAAATGTAAATGTGTTGCTGTGATAATGAACTTTGTTTTTTCTCTGATGCTTTATGGATCCATCCTAGGAAAGGAGACACCTATTCAATGCTATAAGAGGAAAAAAAACACTCAAAGTGCCCATGACTGTGGGAAAGTGCATTACTAGTGATTGTCCAGAGGCATTTAAATCTATCTTGTAAAGTTAACAACATGACCCTGGCTCAGCATTGCAACCAGGCACCAGGCACCATTTAAATCAGATGATGAAATTATTTATGCATTTATGTGATGCATGGATACTTCTGGTCAACTGGTTAATTTAATAGGATACCTGATTCCTAATGCACTTAGTTCTAAAGTATGTGAACCTGCTACCTTCCTTTCAGCCTGGAGCCAGAGCAGCTAGCAAGAATGTGGTGACAGATGCTGCGGTCAGTCACAACCAGGGCCACAGTAACCTGAGACAGAGGGGCTAGATCTTCCGCTGGAGACCCTATGAGAGCGTGTACGATGCTGCCTAGCATGGTTAGGCCGCTCTGAGATTAGCAACAATCCTCTCTCTGCTTGGTTTCCAAGCATAGCAGCACATGGAAGAACGGTGAATCTATCTCCGCAGTGTTTCCCCCTTCAGGCGACTGTGTGTGACTAAGCTGCTAAGCCCTGAGCAGGTTTTCCAAATCCTAGTAGTTTTTCCAAACACACCACAACTGTTCTCTACAGCGTTAACTATGCAATAGAGGAATCACATCAGCCCCACAACCCCCCTTCAATTTCAAAGCCACCCCTCTTCTTTCCAGGAGTTTTGGTCTTCAGAGGACAACTGCCTAATACAAACAAATATATGTGATCACAATGTTATTAATCAAGTCTCTTTTTCACCACCAGCTGAAGGTTTTCGCTTGTGAAAACAATTCTCTCTCAGCAAGGATAGGCATGGTGGCATGACAGTTCCAGAGTCCTGCGTTCACTTGTGCCCTGGAGCCTCTGTCTGTGTGGAGTTTGCATGTTCACCCTGTGTTCTTGTGGATTTTTGCTTGACACTCTGCTTCCCTCCCACCTCCCAGAAAGATGCTTACAAGGATTAATTCTCTATGATGTTCATCTGGACTATGATGAGCACAGAGAGCTTAGCTCACCTGCCGGACCAATGCAAGCTGCAGCGAGAGATACAGGGCAATCTGTGGGTCATCTGGGTCCAAGGAATGGGCTCTGAAATGATAAAGAAAGGCTGCAACATTCTTGTATCTGAAATTCAGCCCACCAACCCAAAACAGCAAATCAGACAGTTATACAAAGGCAGACGTAGTCATCAGATTTGAAAGAGGGCATAAATTCATGATTTAGGTGACCTAAAAATGGGTTATTGTTACACAGAAATCCTAGAATCCTTTATATACTGTATATACAGCTCACCATTTAGTGATTACTAATCTGCAAACATGAGAGTGCTCACATTACACATTACATTTCCGCATATTGCCTAAGCTATACATTAATCAGACTTTCAAAGCTTTTTTATTTGTTGGAACGTAAACTTATCTTTATTTAAAAGCAATTCACAATTCAAATAGATATAATAAGCCATGATCTCTCTTATAAAAAAAACTAAAGAAAAATAAAAACATATGCTCCAAAGGACCAGGGTACCAGCTCAGGAAAAGCTGCCTTGGCAGCACAGTTCCATATCTGAGCTCCATGGCAAACAGTAGCACAACAGAAGAAAAACTGCTCTGACAGCTGCAGGCCTTTAATTCAGAGCTCAGGGCAAAGAGGAGAGCTCAGACTAGCATACTTCCACACCAGACATATTCATCTTAACATGCAGAGTTACATATGAATGACAAATTATTAATATAAATATGCTACAGTAATTAAATCTACCTGGACTCCTCTAGTGATAAGAATGACACAAAACCTCAAGAAGCAGAATGGAATGTTTGGGTAGATTGGTAGATACATTAAGATAAGACAGTGAGCCACATGTTTTTTTGTGCTCAACAACTGTTCATGTATATTTCCCTTTATCTTGTGATTTGTCATATCTTCCTTCCTTTCTTTTTATTGTTTTGTACTAATATCTTTGTACTGGGATTTCACAAGAAGAAAAAGCTCAGCCCAGTTAGTTCTGGGATGGGAAAACGAGATCATTGATGGACCAGTAGGTGGCACTCTTTCTTGTTGACCAGAATTCCAACAATGCCCAATTATGCCAACTGTGACCACTGTGGTGTAAAGGGTGCCTTTAGATATGAAATTAATCTGAGGTCCTGAATGTCTAGTCATTAAAGGTCTCATGTCACTGTGCCTAGGAGTAAGGATGTCCTGGCTGAATTCTACCTGGACAGTTTGGCCTTCTTAAAGGTCTCTTTCTCTGGGGGATATCTACTGATTCTTCATTTTGAACATTCCGACTTGTACTGCATTAAACTTTAATCATTTCTTCCATGACCCCCCGAAAAAAATAAAATTAATGATAATAAAAATAATAAAATAGCAGCATGGAGAGAAATAGCTCCAATATGCTAAGGTAAAGCTTTTGTGTAGGTCTAATAAAACAAATCTTAATCCCATCCACCCTCCAGAAGTCTTCAATGAATATCAAAAGCTACATTTGAGGCAATGGAAACAGGTAATGAAAAACGTCTCTTCTATGTCTACGATTCAGCAAAACACTGCCAGTGCTGTCCTTATAATAAGCAAGTCATGTACCAGAAGAATATATGTAGATGGACTATTTAGACACAGACATAATGACACTCACATCTTTAAGGATTCCAGGGCTTTCCTGTTGAACTCATCCTGACTTCCTTTTAAAGAAGCTGTGAAATAAAAGAAAACAATCCTAATTCAAAGACAGACTGTTCTCTAATTTCAAATCAGCAAACCTCAAATTAAGATTATACAAGATTGCTTCAGATATTCAGAATTAGTTGTCAACACATTGCAAACAACTGTATATTGCCATCTTTTCAACACCTAATTAGGATTTCCATCAGTACTGATGGCAAATGACAGTTGAAACAGTCACATTAAAAGAAAGAACTCCAAACCGACCCCATTGATTGGGTTTTGGAAGGACAAATTACAGTATATCACTTGCATTAGCAATATTAGCACAGGTTACCCAGGACTTTCAAGAATTTCACAACAAAAAAATGAAAAGGAACACAACCCCTTCTCTTTAGCTCCTTTTAATGCATGGATCTCTGCTGTAAAAAGCAGACTGACAGCCTGGCCCATCAGGAATCTGCATTTCGAATATTTTCAATGCTGTTCAATCACTTAGCTTGACTGACAAATGTGCAAACCTGTAGTGAAATGCTAGGACATTTAATAGTGTGGCAAATCCAGGGTGTCCTTCAGTAAACCCAGTAAAGGTTAACCCTTGATGTTTTCAGAGACCTCCAGTGACAAAACTCCCCAGAACTGCAAAGACAGTTTTATTAAGAGCTAGTCGTGTCAACCTGAGTTTGTAATCTGTCAAAGTATTTGATGAATGGGGAAAAAAATGAACACCTATGTATTGAATTAAAAAAATATATAGTGCTACTTTAAATCAAGTATTGGAAAGCTTTAAAAATATTCAACATAATCAAGTAAGGTAATAATTAGATTAGGTTAGTTAAGAGCTCAGATTCAGGATAAAAAGGAGATAACCCTGTGGCCCCTTTGGTAGCTGGATCTGACCAGCCTTTAATCCTGCCTTAGGTGAAAAGACGTAAAGGTCACAGAAGCCTTCCACAGAGGCTCTCCATCCGCTGGAGGTGGAAATGTCGGTAGCCACACCTCAGCAGTACCTGTAGCACATGTTCCCTCAGCACCTAACCCATAGCCACCACATTCAGCAGCCTCCTCCAAGATGCAATGTGACAGATACTCTGGAGGGAGAAAGCTTCATTTATCAAAAGTAATTTGAAGGCTCTTGAGAGAGAGAGAGAGTGCTCTTCATTGGTGATAATGCTTTTACTGATGCTGCTGTATCAACACACCTACACAAGGGAATCTTGAAGATACATTTAGATGCAATTTTAGGATCTGCATTATGGATTTGAGTATCTGTGAGCTAAATTAGGGATTAAATCACGGCAGTCTGACAATGTTTTATTTGTCTGCTAAAAGGTGATAAAGCATATCAACATAAACCATACAAAAGCACGCCTAAATTGCACTGTACTTCACGAAGGCATCCATATCACAAACACTTAGTAACATGAATAAAAAGGGAAATACATTTATTTAGGTCTGTGCAATTCTGGGTATTAGGGAAGAAGAGGGGCAGGTCAGTAAAAACATGCTTCACATTCTCGGTAAAATTTATACTACGAGAGATTGTCCTCAGTTGCACCAGAACTTTTTTCCTGAGGTGAGATGGCTGAGCTGTGCCTCAGGGGTGCATGCATAAAGAATTTTCTTCCATGAAAGGTTTATAAAATGCAATTTTAAAAATACATAAACCTGTAATGTTAAAAAGTCAAAAAGAGATGCTGAGACTGCTTATAGCATCTCTTAAATTGGGATCCTGGAAGATTTATGTCACACTGTGCAACTGTGTCATTAAGAATAAACAGATATACAGTAAATGTACCATATATTGTATGTTTTATACCTATGGGCTACAAAAGTGACGTTCACTCTTGGTCCTTAAGTGGTACATGCATGGACCTAGGAACTTAAATTCTTCCCTAGCTAAAGACTAGAAAACACTGGTAAATAATCTAATTGAGTGGTAATCAGTTTGAATTAAAAATTACAAACTCAGGGTGGAGCTAGAAACAGAGGGCCATCTGGTGTCAAGACCCAGGAGGTAATGGCTTGTGCCATAGAAGTCCTCTCACCATCAGTGGCTTGCAGGCTGTAGCACAGGCCCACAGCCAGGTGAGCTCTGGGCAGGAACTCCGCTGCCTGCTCCCCCATGTCCAGCACCTGTCGTGCAAAGGCCTCACCCTCCTCCAGCTGTGACAGACAAGACACAACATCTGGATTAACTGCAGCTTCCGGGAGAGCTGAGAGGAGCCGGGAAGGCAGAGGAAAGGACTGAAATCAGAGTTTCGTGTATTGAAATACAGTATCACTTTCACTTCTACAGTATCTTGGTCAATGAATATCGATAACCATTTATGTGGCAAATAATAGTTTATTCTGTGATTTTTACATCCCTTTATTTTATCAGGTAAAATTCGCATTTCAATAGTGACCTTGAGTTCACAGAGTGGAATATTTACTGTAGAAAAAACCTTGCATGGTACAAGAACAGCTTGCCACCAGGATTTCAACCCACAATCTTCTGGTCTGTCCAAGACCTCTAAGAACTACTCCATGCTTCTGCCAGTAATTGATTAATAAAACTACTGTCCTTACAGATACTGAATTTCTTTACATTGCATCATGAAGAATCTTTAGACTCTGTGAATTGCTGAGCAGACAGCAAAGTAGCAAAAAAGAGAGGCTTGTTTCTCTTTTAGTGCTCCAGACACAACACCAAACATTTTGGACTCCACTCCTCGAAGAAGGAACCAAGGGAATTTGTCAGTATACTGTATGGGAGCAAGTCTGGTAAGAAACATTTGGACTTTTTTCTTTTTTCAATATGCTGTAGATGTAAGGGAGATTTGGTGCCAGGCAGGACCATGTCTCATATCATTACTCAAAATAATGAATGTGCAGTTTGTTGTTTGTTGGGCTCTTAGAAATTGTCCTTCATTTTGCCGATTTCTTGGACAATCACAAATATTGTGTAAAAGCATTAAAACAGGTAGCAGGAGTGGCACCTACTGTAGATCACCTGTACACCCAGTTTGACTGATGGCCTCCTAATCCTGTTCACTTCACATTCTCTCTCTCTGTCTTCCTCCTGCTGCTGTTCGCCAGCAGTCCTGCCATTCCAGCTTCCTAATCACACCGTCAGTCTAATCTCCCATTATATTCTGCATAATCACACCGACCTGGAGCAGGTGCCCCCGTTTCTCAGCCCGCCCGCCACTCTCAAAGTAAATTACTATCTTACACCTAAGGCTTGCAGATTCACACTCAATTAATTCTACCTCTAAGACTCCCCACCCAAGGACACTGAGTACACACTACCTAATTTGCGAGTGTCAGTAGCTGTAATTGAAAAGCGTTTCCTTACAGATGAAACAATTTGGAATTTGCAGAAAGAATGAATCTCTCTATTTTAGGTTCAGCAAGATCAGAGATGAAAATAAACGTGGCTTTGGAACCCTGTATCTGAATGAGGGTTTATTTTGTAGATGTATAACTTCAAGCAAATCATACTGGGGGCTTGCTCTGTCAAGGAGCTGCGACTGACTCACAGTGTTTCCTCCAGATCTTGGAGAACAAACCCAAAACCAAATGAAACATTCTAGGAGTAAGGTAAGGGGAATGGGCCTTCTAAAACCAGAAGGGAGCACAAGTGCCTGGCCTGGAATAGGTTTCTCTCATTGTAGCAGGAAGGACTCAGTTCTGCATGTTTGGGAAATACACAAATATAGGATATACTGTACTGTAAATGTGAAAGATCATTTAAAAGCTGGAAAAGCTGCACATGACACACAGACTGCAGCTTTTGTTCATCACAGGAAGTGGCAAACAAAATGGCTGGATAAGAAAATACATGTGTAAAATCTGCTTGAAAGGATTTTAACTTTAAAACTGTAAAATGCACCAGAAAAGCTTTATTTAGAATAATGTACATTCACCATATTTCAGACACAAAACCCTCCTGCTCTTGAAGTAGTCTAGGGAAGGGCAGCTAGGTACATTTTCTGTCTTAATGGAAAGTCCTACTCTAAACACAACTGAACCATCAAAGTTATTGCCAAAACTAGCCCAGAAGACGTCTACAGGATCAACAGTGAAACACAAATAAAGGACATAATTGGAAACAATGACAAATGCATTAAAGACTGAGAACAGAAGGTACAGTATGAGAGTCTGGCACAAGCTATCCAGACATATTGATTAATCTGAAACTTTAGCTTCCTTTAAGAAATGACAGCATGAGATCTTCACCAGATCTTTACCTGTTCCTAAAGACATAAACTATATATTAGTCTGTCACTGTAAGACATTTACTTAAGCCCCACAATATATCTGGTTGCTTTTCTCTGGAATGATCCCAGAACAGCTATACTGTACTTTTCTGTATAACAAAGGACCAAAAGTGTACACAACAGTCTAAATGGGGCCTTGCAGGTGTAATATACAACTTTAACATAACACCCATGAGTGGAGATCTTTGAAGGTTAAGGGGGCTGTGTTCAGTTGAGAAGAGGGCACATGACTATCACTGTCCACTACGCCCATGCTGTCCACTCTTACACTCCAGTACACTGCTACTCCTTCTGCTGTGAGAGCTGCTGCAGCATTGTGCTGCTCGGTCTGTAACACATTAAAAAGAGGCAGGACTTGAATCCACTCACCCAGTGAAGCTGCCCAATGGAGACCTTGGCAGCCAGCAAGGGGATGGCTGGGTCACTGGGCCTCATCTTGGCACATTCCCTCAGCACAGACACAGCACTGGCACCCTGCAGGGTCAGAGCACAAGATGTGGTTACTGATCTGGGGTGTGAGGCACAGACAAGCCCACTCTCTGCTGTACAATGACCCAACAGGTTAATTACACTGGTTACACTGACATGCTTCACACTCTACCCCTCCCACATGCAGCACTTCTAAACATAAATGCATTCCTGGATGAGTTGTTCTGGGCCCAGCATGCAGCTCACTTTAAAATGCCGCGTACCGTCCCGATTACATGAATCACAAACAAATAAATCCAAAACACGCTGGCAAACTAAATAAAAAATGTCTTTGTAATCTAATAAAAGTCTATAGGAAATAATAACAGAAATAACATATCTTTCATTTACACACAGAGCATACACAGTATACATACGCATGAAGTGTTCTGACATACAATATACTGTATGCTTATTGACATGACACAGTTAAGAGCTATGTGTCATTCATTTGTCCCCCACATACTGACCCTTTTATTATTGCTAATTATACTCAGAAGTAGGCCACTGTCCTATTTAAGTATGACGCTCCTCCTAAGTGGGTGCCCTGGTTCAAGAAACTGCTGTAGATGCCCACAAAGCAACCGCAGAGACAGAGTGCAGGACAGCCAAATGAATCATTCACATAAAGGCTTCTTAACCCTTCCTCTCCGGATCAGTAGAAACCTTTTGCATGTAGTTTTACACAGGAATTGCAATTTCCTGTCATGTTTTTATTTAGTTCATTAAGAGTCGGTCAGGCTCAAAGCGACAGGTAAAACTGAAGCCTACGAGGAGGCAGGAAGTGTACCGGGATCGCCCTCATTACCAAAATTGCCAGGCGCCCCAGCTGGAATGAGGCATTTCCACACTTCATTTACATTAAATTGGATCTCATTCAAACAGCAGTGAAAATACAGGTAGTGAGCTGAAATATGCAGAGCAAGTCATTTTAGGTTAAGTCTTTTTCTGTCCTTTGTAATAACATTACTTATTACCTTTAGACTTAACCTTATATTACCTTAAAATCTGTGAACATTTACACTAGATCCAGTCATTCTGTGGCTTCTACCCACCATTTTTACCTCTTTATTTGTGGTTCACCCCGGGTATTTAAATTGTCCATTATTTAGAATTATCTGCTTGTGTCTATAGCTGACTTTTATCCCTCTGTCTCTCTCCTCCTTGTAAGTAAACAGTGTGGCAGACCACTCAAGCTGGGATGGGCATTCAATGCTCCACAGTGTGACAGGACAATATGTGTCACCAAACATAAAACACTCAGCTGACGACAAAGAAGGCCAGAATAATAGGACAAGTTAGAAAGGTCAAGCGTGATGAGACAGTTCGGTGTGACCATGAATTAGTGTGCCTCTCTGAGTCTACTGTCACATAGTGGTATCACTTCCTCGAAAAGGACACTATGTTAATTTCATCACAGAGCTGAAGAAACCTCCAGCCAGATGACCTTTGTATGATAAATATAACACAACCTGAGAAATGGACCAATATTGCTTTCTGTTCTCTATCTGCTGATATCTGTGTGCACAGACTGGAGTTTTTAAATACCACATAGGGACAGCTAGACAGCTGCTATGGAAATCAATTAATCTGAACTCCAGCTTCTGGATTCACACTATGGTTGTTGCAGAAGTACAATCTCACATGCATGATCTGTGAGTAGCATTCACACTTTTGAAACAGTGATATCAGATTTAATATTTATCTTTTATTATGTTATTCTTCCTTATAAAGCTTTGTGAACTTGACATTTTAATTTCTGTATAGTATAAACACAAGACCTTTGAAGTTCTTTACCCCTGCTTTGTTAAATTCATATGCTATGTTTTTGAAAAATATATTTAAGCGGAACCTATGTAGGAGTGCATTTACAATCAAGAGCTGGATATTTTTTTACCCAATTGGATGTAAACCATTTGTTACAGTTAGAAAGCTTTCTTTTTGTAGAGGTGACTTATAGAGCAGTCCTATTCTGGACACAAACAGCTGTAATAGCAAATACCAAATCTTGACACAGGTTTAGGGCTGAGTCCTTTTCTCCTTTTTTCCTTACTTCTCCCTATGAAACCCAGAGATAAATGTGTTTTCATTGCCAGTTGCTTAGCAACCAGACAATGTTTTACCTAGGAAACCGGCAGACAGTATAACCTTAATCAATTCTCTGTGCAAAACCATCACCACTGAGCCTCTCCTGTTAACCCACCACAGCACAGTGTCTGTGCTTTCTTCTTGTCTCAAAGAAAGCAGTGACCTCAGCTGTGAGAGAGAGACAAATGGACAGAGACAGTAATCAGCTAAACCAGAGATGTCCAAGGCATCTGAAGAAAGTGCTACATACAAACTTCATCCAATGGCATCCAATGACATGAAGACCAAGATGACTGGAAGTCTTACTCTGTTGCAGCTCTGTTCTGAGGATGCAAGAATCATAAGCCTTCATGGTAACCAAAACAGCCTGAGGGTTGAAGCAGCCCTTCTGTACTTTAGCCTGTCAGCGTTGATGCTACATTATTCATTGCTTAGATTCCACAGTGAAGATGAGGGGGTCAGTGCACCATTTATATGTATAAATACCTAGGGATATTTCCACATATCTGGTTCAGCACTTCTCCTGCAATGTCTGTCCAGTGATATGGCCTCTCCAGGGTCTAAACTAAAAGAACTGCACCATGCTTCAATGAGACAAGTGAAAAGAATTATCTGGTATCAGTCTAACTCTTGATAGCTGACTCAAATCAACTGTCAAGGAACAGATGTTTGCGATGGCTGGTCTAATTTAGGTGGAGAAACTCAATTCTGACACATACACCAACATTGTAGTATTCACCTTCTATCTTTCTTGAGTGTAGCCCAACCTTCATTGCACTGCATCTGCATTTTAGTATGCATTAAAAAAACAGCATCTTATGAAAGCTTAATCTGTGCTGTTCCTTGTGTGAAGCTTTAAATCTGACAAAGCCAGCAGCTCTCTGTGTGAAACGGCTGTCAGCACACAGTCTGGACACATACACAGTGCTGCTCCCCAACATGATCAGGCTTTTGTTCCACATCTGCAGCAACAGTAACATGATTAAATATAACACAGGTAGGACTTGCATTTCATCTTTAACTTCCCTGACATAGTGTGTGACAGAATGCGCTGCTTTAAATCATAAACAAAAAATAAAACGAAAACTATCAGGGCTAGATACAGCACCCACTGAGCAAACCTCTTGAAAGGAAATGAACAAATATGTGCAAAAATAAATTAAGGGTTCATCTGTGAACCAGAGGCGGTAGATGATACTGTGTGCTCAAAGTGGGCATTCCTAGCAACAGCACTGCAGACTGGGATCAGCAGGAACACAGTGTTTACAGTTCATGCAGCACAGGTACATTTTGAAAGCCTTTTGAAATCCACTGCAGGATGCTATGGCTCAAGACTGGCCTCGCAGAGTGCAGTTACAATGACTTACTCTTATCTGTACTCACAGAGCAGCATGGCTCATTAGACTCTTTCACCAACACCTGCCTCCCTCCACTGTCAGCTCTCCTTACTACAGTGCCTTCTCTGAAAGAGGGACCCCTGGAGAAGCTCCAGCCCTGGGGACACAGGGAAGTCCAGCAATACTCTCTTCTCCAGCTGGGTGCCCTGCAGTCAGGTGCCTGGCACTAACACTGCAGTTCCACACAGAGAGGTTTACAGGGGCGTATACTACACCACTGCACTCTAGCAGCATTTGAAAAACTCTTCACACTGCAGACAGGCAATATGGGGGATCTCCTCTATTACCATGCTTGTGGGTTAAAAACAATATCACTGTATATCATTTGTCCCAAAATGGATTTGGTCAACATTTCAAATAACATTTGTGCATCCTTGCATTATTGTAATATAATGTTAAGAGATCCAGTTCAAAAAAAGGTCAGTGTGTTAGCTGAGATCTTCAAATAGGTGAAAGTGTGGACAACAGAATTTTTCTTCATAAGAGAATAAAAAAACACCACATGGCAACAACGACTCAGTCTGGATTAGTTGGATAGATTTCTTTCAAATCATGCAACTTTTGGGGCACCTGAAGGTTTGCACTTTTGTGTGTGAAGGACATAGCACACCCCCAGTCAGAGCCGAACCTGCAGTAAGACACCATGTCAAAAGGTGAATGCCTTGATGGATGGCTGAGTCAGAAGAGCCTCTCTGCCCTTTATCATTTTCTCCGTGTGGGTCCACGAGGTACTGCCGTGAACTGAGATGTACAGACACAACTGACAATTCCTAATTGGTTACATCATAAAATTAATTGATAATTGGTTTTATAATATATATTTTTAAAAGAATTTGTAGGGTCCCATTTTGGACGGAATCTGGTAAGAGCACAACAATTAGTCTTCAATAATAAATCATTCATGAGCACATCCGCACGCACGCCTACAGACACAATGTCATATTTTTCTTCCATAGCCACTGCAGTGGCCAATTTGCTTTCTTGTTTCCTGTCTGCGGGGAATGGAAAAAGACTCACCAGGAACACTGACTTCCTCTCCTAGAAAAGACTCAATAAGCCCAAACAGATGGGTCTGTCCACAGAAGGTACCCCACATTACCCATATAAGGGCCAAGCTATTTCGATCGAACAGCAATATCATGTAGCCCGACTACATGACAGAATCGATTTACTTCACTCCCATCAGCTCCCCCAGCTACCATTCACAGCCCTGTTTTTTTTCCCCACTGGAAATCTAAAATGTCTTTATTAACTGCATGTTAGCTCCATCTGAAATATCTGAACATAATATTTAGTCTAATAATTTATAATGAAGCAAATCACCTTACCTGGAAAACTACCTGAGGAAAAGAGAACACAATCTTTTTGACATCCAACGTCTGACCTTCAAATGATGCTTCAAATGTTAATATAATTCATGTATCTCCATTGTCTAATTCAGTGATAGGCGACCTTAAAACTATTTCCCCTTTAGGGTGGCACAGTCAGTCAGTGGTTAGCAGGGCCTGTAAAGCACTGGGGCCCTGGGTTCAATTGCTGGGGGCCTTTTGTGAGTGTGTGTATGTTTGTGCCTGTATTTATCCTGCAATGGACTGGCGTCCTTTTCAGGGTGTACCCTGCCTTGCACCCATTGCTTACCATTTGAGGCTCCTGTGTCCCCCACAACATTGTACTGGAGAAAGCAGTAAGAAAATGGATGCATGGATGTTTTCCCTTAGTCATAGGTCTTGCTAGGGAAAAGCCCATTACAAGACAATACAACAATAAGGGAAATTTCAGCAGTTTTCTCATTGTCATATGAAATGCCTGACATGGCAGGACACGATGCATTTAATGATTCTTATAACAGATATTTTCACCTTACCTTTCCACAAGCCATGAGAGACAAACCCAGCTGGTACCAGAGGTGGAATTCATTAAAAGAGAATTTCATAGCACGTTCTAGGCACTGCAGGAAAAAAAAAGACAGGAAATGCTCTTAGGCCTGTCAGGAGCTTCTTGCATCTACACCTTTAGCTTTTAATCACATATCAGAACACCTCAAGGAGATTTACTTTAATATGATGCTTTCTCAAATTCTGCCACAGTTTATTCTGTTCCACCTGATGACTGGAATACCCACTGCAAACATCAAATCAGTAGATAATCAACATTCAGACCAAATGGACACATGAACCAGTGATGAAGGAGACAGTAATGGCCACAAGACTACATTTCGACAGGGCACAGAGCAAGCCTGACAAGGAGAGACCTGGAGACCACTAGTAATGACCCTTTAGTCTAGACATGTGTGACTCTGTGTTAGTGACTGGGAGGACATTGGATTTAGTAGGTTATATATGCAACCAATGTTAAGGAGCAAAATGAGTTAATGTTTCTTTTCTGTCTTCATGCACCTCCATTCACCTTGGTCCACTCAGGGACTGCCAGCCCCACTGGTACACTCAGGACATGAAGAGTGAGCCTGAGAAGCTGGGGAAACAGCAGCAGCGTCTTGGAAGAACCCCTCGGTGGAGAGGAGGCAGAGCGCCTGAGAGTACTGAAGAAACTGGAGCCCTGTGTTTAAGACTGGGGGCAATTTCATTATATTACATTTCACAGACAGAAGGAATACTTCTGTAAATTAATGTACGTACAATTGAGAATAGGAATTATATTACAACCATTTATTGTAATTAAGAATACTTCAATACAGGTCCAAAAAGTGCAATCAAAACTAACGTGACGCATACATTGCTCTCAGTATAAAGGTCTGAGATGTTCTGTCAGCACGGACATATTCAACCATAAAATCTGTGCCACGAACAACCATGCTTCAGTAAGCAATGCTTACCATCTGGGAAAAAAGAAATCTGGCTAATCTATTTTTATTTTGTGATGAAAAGCCCACTGTAACCTTGTCTTCTAACTGCTTTCAGTTCATTATCCTGCTCTCATTTGCAGGGCCAGCCATTCTCCTGCCCCAGGATGTGCAGTCTTACCTCTGAGAGCATGGTGTACTGCCCCCTTCTGGCCATGGCGATGCTCAGCAGGTCATACACAGAAGTAGCGTCCTGCAAGCTGTTAGACCTAGCCTCCTGCTGCTCTGGGGCTCGGCTGATTACTGCATCTCTGTTTGCCTATGGGGGGAGGAGCACAGACAATTAGGATACTAATGTCTACATAACCCGCATTCACAGGAATGTGTATTAACACTGTTCCTCGCATTTCCATTTCATTAATTTTGCAAGGTACAACAATCTAAAAAAATACGGACTCAATTGACTTCACTTAATCGACCCCGTTCCTGAATATCAATTACATAATTACATAATTCAACATGAGGCGTAAATATCAGGAAATTATTGAAGATATGGCTTTTGAACTGTTAAACAAAATGCTTTGAGAAAGTTCATGGCGTTTGAATTTCAGATCACATTAGCTACACACAGGATTTGTCACCTTCCTGGATTTTTCTCAAAATACAAGCCTACAGGGCTGGGAGTAGCAATGGAGAGAGCAATGACCTAAGCCATCATCTAGCACAGAAACACTACAATCACTCCAATAGAGTAATTGGGCAGGATGAGAAAAAAGGCCATACTTTATTGACAGGTTACTACCATAGCTGAATAAAAGTATATAGCTGCTGATTTAATTCCCTGGGCTTTGGTACTTCACTACAGTAATTAATAAATAATCTAAGAATAATATTAAGATATTGACACCAAATGTGTATGCACTGATGTTGCTCCTTGAATTATTTACCCTGTTCTTGATACTCCCAGGCACCATTTGTACAATTGTTAATAGCTGTGTGAAGTGCATGAGGTAATGTGAGAGAGAAATGTTATGAGAAATTAATCAGACTGATGACACAGTTTTCCATGGTTACATAATACATCCATTAAGCAGGCAACTCAAAAAACAATTTTTGTGACGCACATTATTAGAGGAAGAGAAAAATTAATATGCTGAAACAAATAAAGATATAAAAGTCCAATAAATATGCGTGGTACGGATATACCCAACTGTAGCGAGCAGGAAAGCATCTGTGTGAGAGGAGCTGCCCTGCATTCCTGCAGCACATGTCTGTGACTGACAACAGTGCAGCATAGACAGCGGCTGTAGGCAACAGGAACAATGTACAGCAATCAGCAAAAAAGAAGCTGCTTTCCAGAATAAGCTTTCACACATCAATCTTTAAGCATTTTATTTGTTCTAATTGGAAACACCTTTCCAAGCAGTTCTTTATTGGCAAAAAACAGACTTGAAACTGAAAAAAAGAAGCAAAAAAGGGCAGCAGAGTAAAGCAAATTGAGTTAATAAAGCAACTGCTGAGGCACCTTCTACCTAGACAATTTCATGTTGTCAGTTATCAATTATCAATATCAATTATATTGATATCAATAAAACGACCACATGACAGTATAATATATCAATTATATTTTACTATTTGTGCAAGACATATAATATGTGTGCAGGTGTTTTTCTAAACTACATTGTAGAAAAAGTAGGCAGTATACATTCAATTAGTATACCTTCATTCTGCAGTCCCTTCAGTCAACAGCAGACAGTGATCAAATGGACAGATCAAGTTATTGGAAGCTTCCTAATTTTAATATCTACCATCCACAGTGAAACAGTGGACAGAAATTAAACTAGAAACAAAAAAAGTGAGAAGCTGTTTTCCTGTTCTGAGTGCAATCTGGCTTGCTGGGATTGCAATATCAATAGCTAAAACACATGTAGTCTGGACATGCAGGCACGCCATACAGAATGTTGAGGATAGCTTACTCTAGTAGACATACCTGTTCTCCATTAATGATATACGCTAAGCTGAATCTGCGTTATATGATTGGCTACAGTGAAAATACCTCTCGATACCTGTGCTCATCTCAAGTATGCAGCAAGCTGCAGGTGATATAGTTCACTGTTATCTTCAACCAAATGTAGTAAAATAAATATGAACAAATATTTTAAAAAGGGTTACACCTGTTTATTATGCATAAACACATAAGCAACATTTAAAAATGAAAATAATCACTTAAGTGATTTCAGCAAGTGAAAAAGAGCTTCTGCTTCTAATAAGATATCAATGCTGCAAACCTCCACCAAATGCAAGTACTGTAGTGAGGCTGAAGTAAGAACAGCTCCTATCACTGCATGTATTAGTTCACCAGCGTTGCCATGAAAAAAAGAGTCTTACCATGGACTCACTGATAAGGAGCAGCAGGACAGCCTCCTCCACAGTGTCCTGTGGGCAGAACAAACTGCCAGCAAGAAAAACAAGCCAATGAGGTTCTGACTATGCTGGGAGTCATACCTTTCACCTCTGTCTGTAACACAAGCCTGCTAACACTAATGTATCTGCCACACAATCCCTCCTTTCTCAGTCTTTCACAGCGTGTGCTCCGATTTCACAGGCCTGACCTTTGGGCTCCCCGTCAGCCAGCAAAGTCCTCATTGACCTGCCATGGGACAGATACAGTTACTGCCCCCTACGACCTGGGGAAAATATTCATGGAAACCCACGCAGGCACACAAGCTTATTAATAAGAGAAGGAGCGTTTTGCTGATTGTCTGTGTTTTTTGTTCTGGGAATCAGGTAACAATGTCAGACTAAGTGGAGTATTTTGGCATTTTAACATTCTTGTTTTTTTTAGCACAGAACACTGCATAATTTCATTATATCTGAGTAGTCAGCGACCAGAACCTATTACTATTGTGATTTACGTAACTCTCATTATTATCAATTTATTGACAATATAGCTGGCAGTGGCAGCATATCATGGGCTTGTGTGTGCTTGATAATCAACAATGTAACACACAAAGAACATGTACTTACTGAGCCTGTGAAACTTTTACTTGTATGGGAGCAGCTGCTCAAACAGAACAGCTCACCCCTGTTTGGACTCTATTGTCTGTATTACTATGTAGGACAACAGCTGTTCTGCTTTAATCTTGCCATTCTGTGCTTGTATTTATGTAATGAATTGCATTTTAAAGGGTACTTTATTCTACATCCAATTCTTCAGCATGCATGCCTAGATATGCAATAATCTTTTAGGAACTGATATATGCTTTAGATTCTTAATATTTTGTATCATGAATAATTGCATCCTAATGTGACATTTTATAAAACTTATTTTTATTTAATATATAAAAATAAACATATGATATTTAACCTTATTATATGTTTATCCTTTAAATAAAAGGATACCTTATCTGAAATACCCTTAAAAAGAAGACAAAAAGGCAAACATTTTGAGCATACCTGTCTCCACTGTACTGGTGGGGAGCTCTGAGAGGGTAGTGGCAGGAGTCTCTGAGGGAGACAATCCTCTCTCTGTCCAGCCAGTCAGGGGGCAGGGGTGTCAGGGGACTCCAGTAGCTGTCCTCACTCACCATGCTCAGTAGTGCCCCTGCCAGTTTCCTTGCTGCTGCCTGCATAGCACACACAATCCAAACACAAATTACACACCTCCCCCATTCTCTCTAATTCTAAATGCCCAGCAGACAGCCTTGAAGGTAAAGTGATTCCTGATAGATCTGCTTTGCATAAGACATTTTTAAAAACTATTTACAACAATAAAAAGAACAAATAAAAATAAAAATGATTTGTGTGTTTAAGTGTGTATAAGAAGAGGTGGTGTTCACATTTGACTTCATATAAATTGTATGGCCACTATTTAAGTGAGAAAAACCTATCTCTTATAAGGAACAGGTAAAGATGTATGCCACGCTGGAAGGAAAAGTAAAGAAACACTGTTTCAGCTGTTGGGCGTTCTTCAGGTGTGAAACTATCTCCTTTTAGGGACAAATGGAATTTGTCACGGGAAAATCGAGTCAGACAGAGAACACAGAGTGAGTTTGCTAATGTGTTTGTTGTAGAGTGGCTGCAGTCCTGTTCTGCAGTGGCCTTCTTTCAAAATCCGCTCAGACACAGGCCAGCTTCAGTGCTGCATGGAGTCAGCACTTACAGAAAGGTAGCTCACTCACCCCACCTGCTGGCTAACACAAAAACACGCATCCTCACATTGAAACAACCCGGCAGAGATTTTCCACACCACGCAATGTGATTTACAGAGCCTATAACTCCCCAGATGAAAGAATTTTAGAAAATTAAGAATATCAGTTACTAGCCTGCTTTTTCTCATATCTTGCAAACTTAAATCTTTGCTTTTTTAGCAGAATAGATTATTTCCTTTAATAATCACAGCGTGCAGATGTCAAAATAACCCAGTGGGGGGGGGGGGTGCCACATTTTTCATAGTATTAATATAATGTAGTTATAAAGTATATAGCAATCAGTAAAGTGTTATTATTTCCAAGTGATATTTTGTTATTAATACATTCTGAAACAAATGCATGAAGCACAGATATGTGATAAACCTGTCATTTCACTTTTTGCAACTTTAAATAAGCAACTATTTGTACATGCTCATTAGCTCAATTTAATAGTGCACCTGGAATGCGTTACAAGTATACAACAACCACTAAATGTTTTTAAAACACTGATATCGCACTCCAAAAGTTTTAAACATGTCAAATACAATCAGGAGTTACGATATATGCATGTTAGAAACATCAACAATTTACTCAAAGACTACTTGTCCAGAAAATATTTGAGAATTAATAATACTGCTGACTTTGGAAGAATTAAATTTGTCAGTGAGCAATCTTTAACTTGCACGGATGATAAACGTCATCAACTTAATCACAACAATTCAAAGAACAGCATACTGTACACAAGTAGCCAATATGAAGTATTGTCTTTGCTAATCCATCCCATTTACCAAACAAATCTGACTCATGGTCAAGTTTTCCTCTTTATACAGTCATTAACCTGAAATTATATGTTTTGTATCACAGTATAAAGATCTTGTAGTTTAAAACAAAATACTAACAGTTCTAATAGGAAATTACCATGTATTTCTGCACATGAAACATGTAGTACAATACAAGATTGCAGAACTATGTACAGTATATAATGCCATATTATACCAAACAATTCACTACATGCGATTTAACAATTTCATTAGTGTTTAGCTCTAATTTATTAACTTGTTTTTTTTTTAGTGACTGCTAGTATTGAACTCTCCCTAAATGACTATACCACCTTTCCACATCTCTAAAGTTAGGTCATTGTTTAGCTGTTATAAATACAGCAACCATCTATTATCATTGTCTGTGACTCAGGGTAGGCTTTGCTTTCAGAGAAAAGAATGGATTGCTGATCTGCAAAGAAAGGGAGGAATCTTGACCTCAATTTAGGCTGCAGCTTCTCTAAGATCATTCTATAATTTGTGTAGAAGCTCTATTGTAACTCTACAGTGTGTCCTAGGTGAACAGAACAACAAGAAAAAAACAGATACAGGACGCTGATTGGACAGCACAGCTTTAACAGCAACAGACAGAACAAGCATGTTCTTAAAATATCTTCAATTATAGGAAATCTCATCATTGGATAAGACTGAGAAACAGTTCTTCTGGTGCTGTTTAAGCTGTATCTCTGCAGGCATATCTGCCAAGCTAAAAACCATAAGCATGCTATTAAATGAAGACTTCAGTACTTAAATATGATTTTTACATACAGAAACCTTCCCACTTTCTCTTTAAATTAGTCATGTCTCCTTCATATTGTATTCATAGGTAACAGCAACTCAGTTATTGTCCCCCAATTCCTAGAGACACTGTTGATTTTAAGTTCACGGGAAACATACTATAGGGGTCTCCATAAATGAAACCAAGGTTTGACTGGAAGATGCTTTGATTTAATTAAAATTTAAATAAATACAAAATTAAAACTAGGCAACAGACAATAAAACAAATATAACTGGTTTACTATACATATTTCAGGCCCTTGGTAAATTGCATATCAAGCAAATTTAATAGTAATATCCCTTTCTGCTCTTGCTTTGGAACTGTGGCGTAATTGCTCTGTGGAAGCAATCATTAGGGAGGGCACTGAACCCTGTACCCAGGAGAACTGTTTCACCCTTCAGTGCTCTCACCCTGCTCCTGGGGGTGGGTTACTCTGGTCCTGGAGGAATACAAGGTCTTTAATTTTCCATCCTCCATGAAGTGTGTGCTAATTAATTGAACCAATTACTTAATGCCTGGTTTTAATTTTCAAGCAGGTGGTGACTAAAAGAGGCCTACAAAACCTGCAGAACTTAGCCTCCCCACTGTGCAAACCAACATAACAAAAGATACATAGTGAGTGAGGCATCACATCTCACCCCAGCTGGGGAATACATGCTTCTAAATAATGTATATGAATAATTAAATATGCAAAACTGTTCTGTATCCCTAGAGTAGTCTTCATAATGAGAACACTTAAAGAAATAAATAACAATCAAAAGCACTGAACGCTATTCTGCTGTGGAATAAAGAAAAGGAACAAAACGTTATTGTTTAATAAGAGGGATCTGTCTGTCTTTGCAAAGGTATAAGGGGGAGGTTAATGAGTGACATTTTCGTATCTGTTCTGAGCCCACATGAGTATCACACAACCTTTGAGTGGGCAAGGAGTATAAAAATATGTTCTCTTTCAGAGCCAGAAAGTCAATTGGTCAACTCAGATGTCAGCCTCTCTAAAGGTAAAGACCTTGGTTCTTTGCAGGCTTTCAATGGTTTGATAGCAAATGCCCTAAACAAACACCAGCTTTGTCAAACCGTAGGGTTCAAACTAATCTGAGATCACTGCACTCATAGCTTGCCTGCAGGGCATCAGTGATGTCTCCTACTTCTCTCCACATGAGATTCACCTACTTACACAACACTGACCTCTTTCCATCTATTCCAGGCACACAACTACAGGCACATCGAGGGACAATCAAGCCCTTTTGCGAAACTCTCCTCAGATCACATAGAGACAGGTGAATAAAGTTCCGTTTTGAACCAGTGCTCTCCTATCAGACGTTGCAGGGCTCAGGCAGACAAAGCCTTGTGCTTTAACACAGCAGTGAAACATCCAATTTTTGAGAGTGCTGCAGCTTCAATCAATGAGGGGACTTGCATAACCATAAGCTGCTCAAGCTAAAGCTGTGTTGCTAGGCTACAGGATCCCAGCAGGAACTGCATTGCGACATGCAGTTGAGTAACTAGCTCTTAAATTATAATTTCATTTCGTTGTCACACTTGGATGGGATTTGGCACAGCGTTTTAGTTTTTTTTGAAGGAGTTGGTGCATGTCTTAGTGTGTGTTGATGTGAAGCACATGGGTGTTTAGATGTGAGTCTCATCAACACAACCAGCTGCACTCTATGCAGCTGGTTGTGTTGATGAGAAAGGACTGCTGTATAAGAGGAGGGTTTCTACAAAGTGGCTGAGCTCTGCAAGAAAGTTCTCTGGAAGTATGGATCTCTGGATAACACCTTCCCACTGATCAAAACACAGAACACATTCTTCCGCAGATCTGCCAGCCTTTCAGAAACAATGAGCTTTACAGTAATTCTATTACAATGTAAGAACTTTACAAATGTTGATTTAATTTGATTAATGATTTCAACATGACCCACAAATTCCCATTGCTTGAGATCTTAAAACATTAGCGCTGATACCAGCTTCAGAAATGGAAAGAGGATTTGAAAAACAAACAAAGATAACAGCAGTACTGTCCTGCCTTCCTCATTGAAATGACAGGCACTGTAACACTGCTTTATCATACTCAGCTTTGGAGATGAAGGACTGGCTAGTACACTAGAGCAAGAAGTAGGGTTTTAAACTACTACACTGCCCCTTCGACACCATACAGTATGTGTCAAATGCACCACTTCCACACACAGGACCTTCTTATGTGACAGCTGAAACTTTATATTTCAAAACTGTTTTTTTAAGCCTGCTGTGAATCATTTTTGTTTTGAAATGCCTGAGCTTTCAGTAATAAAATTGGCCCTGCAGGTTATTATACTGTATAATTGCTTCAATCAATCAGTTTTTATTTTATAACCTCTCTCATCATCTCAAAGAGCTGTACCAAGTCACATGATTGTGTATTGAGCCACATAATCCTGCCAGTCTGTAAGTCTATCAACTATTAATAATAAATACCAGTCCTTTTTATTTACCTAAAGATGAATATCTCTCTCACACTGCACCAACTGAGAAATGACATCAATGCATCACGAGTCTGCTTCCCATCTAGAATGCTAATATGACATTTTTAGCAGCATCACATTAATCTCTCAATACTTTTCTCACTACAATATAGCACAGGTGAAAAAGGTGACCTGTGCAAAAATGTTCAGAACAACTCACATAATCTTAACAAGTTATAATAATCCCAATAAAGCCTTAACCACTTAAATGGCAGATTTAATATACAGTTTAGTTTAGTTTAAAGTTTCTAAAGTTTTCACCTTAAAGAGAAGACACCTGCCAGATAGATGGTGTGCTCGAAAGCAAGCAACAGACAGTTCATCCTGCAGCCCTTTCAAAATAATGACTGAAATCAATTTCAGTACAGTGTAAATCTCCCCAGCAAGTACACATCTGATGCATACGATCATACATTTCCACTTTACACCACACCACAGAAAGTACCGCAGAACTAATTTTTTTCAAAGATTTCACAGACACCACTACCACACAAGAAAGGGAACCCTCGATTTTTTTTTTAGAACACAGGGCAATGCCATCTTTCTTTACTGCAGGAGCCCCTGCGGAGGGTGTGGTCACCATTAACACTCAGAAGACTGGCTGCTCACCTTTCTGAAGCTCTGAGAGCCCCGAGTGTCCACTGCTCTCAGGACCTGCCGCAGCTGCTGGACGCCCTGGGCCACATTGCTGAGGAGAGATCAGGAGATCTGCCACACAATGTACTAAGACCCCATTTCTGAATGAATTTCCAGCCTGTGGAGGGAACACTAGGAGTACCGGACTGGAAAGTGGACTCCTCCTGCTCTGTCAACAAGCAGGTCTCAGTTCTGTATGTAAGGAAGATGTTTCTGTGTCTCTGAGAAATTGTATCAATCAATCATGGAATGCTGGAAAACACTATTTTTGGGGTGTTTCCAATTTTTGGCGCCCCTTAGTCAAAATGGTAATGAAGCTTGTGCTTAAAAGGTTAAAAATGAACTTACAATAAAAATTATCTAGAGGTTTCATTTGTTTTGCCAACCAAAAGCAATGCAAGCCTTGCCATACAGTATCTGTAAGGAGAGACTGCCACCTTCTGGAAGCAAAGACTTTCACATCGAAAACCTATTTGGAAAGATGCATATTAATCTGAGAGGAAAAAAAATGCATCAGATGTAATGTTACTAATAGTAAGGTGTATAAGTCTGTGCTACTGTAGTTAAACTATACTGTTTTCAGTATAGTAGATCAAAATCACGAGGAAAAAGTTTTATTTTTTTCAATTAAATCAAAACCAAGGACAAATATTTAATATTTGTGCTCATTAATTTCTTCATCGATGATGTACCTCAGTCTTAGCTCAGCTGTGTAGTGTCAGGCCAATCTGGGGTGGGAAAAGGTGAAAGTTCTCCTTCTGGGAGAGGTAACCAGTGACATATATGTAAACACGGTCACATTAAAGGAAAAAATGCAACATTTATTAAGGGGACAGCTCCCTACTTAAGTAACCCTACCTTCACAGCTAGCAGTATTTTTCCAATGACCTGCTTGAGCTGTTTAATATTATTACTGCTCAAATAGAATAAAACATGTAATTCTGCACCTGAATTACAATGATTCAGTTAGAAACACGCCCTTCAGTTAGAAACACGCCCTTTTTGATAGTGTGGGGGGCTAAGTCAGCTGCAGGATGGTAATCTATACAGACTCACCCCTTCCGGAGCATAGACAGGTATGCGCTCTGTAGCGCCGCCTGCTGGAAGAAGCTGAGTTCAAACTCCATTGAGGGCACATTGTTCTTCACACTCTTACTGTGGGAGGTGCTCAGAGTCTGCCAACACAAGGCCAAAGAGAGTCTCAGTTAGACCATCATCATCATTATAACTAGCAGTAATAGTAGCAGGAGCAGTAATAGTAGCTATAAGTAGTAAGAGATTGACTGTTGTACAGTGCAGTAATAGCATGGCTCATGAGTATGTTTATGGATTCTGACTTCTAACCCTACCATTATTTCTAACCCACCACTAACTCTACTACACACCTAAAGCTAACCATGGAGAAGAGAAGAAAAGAAACACAGTAAATAAGGTTGCTGGAAGTACAAGATGTCATCTGAGTGATCTGGAATTGTTCTCCAATGATATATCAGCAGCTGACTTCTCTCTCTTTCTCACACGCGAAGAAGGCTCCACAGCCAAAACCTTGTGTGTCTTTTCTTCTCTTTTCAGCACAGAATAAACCTTTACTTGTTCCTTTGCAGCCTACACATGCTGACACTGCAACCTACTTGAACTACTTAAAACTAACCATGCATTTTTTCTACACGGTTCCTTCACAACAATGATGCCAGGAACAGCAGTGATATTAGTATTGAAAGCCAGATTCCTGACTTGTATGCCCCATCCCTGCACCTGCAGGGTCACCATCCCTGACCCTGACCCTGTCCCTGTCCCTACTCTCCACCCCTCACCCCTTCATACCACTGACCTTGTCAAGTTCCTGCAGGTACAGCAGCTCAGAGCTACAGGCCTTCAAGTAGCAGGACAGACTCTCCTCCTCCCTCTCAGACAGACGAACGCGGGAGGCAGCCGAGACCTCCTGGCGCTCCAGGGACAGTCCTTGGTTGGGGGAGGGTGACAGATGAGCAATCCACATGGTCAAACCTTTATAGACCACTATATAGACCACTATATGAGAACAGACTACACTGTTTAAATGTGAGAAAGACATCTTTTTTTTCCTGTGCACAATTTTGACACATTCATTTATCTACTCACAATTCTCTTCAACTCAGAATGCCACTTAAAATCCCTATGAACACTCATGGAGAAAATGTAGCCATTTCAATGCCCTCTTGGTGCTCCTACATTTGTGTATTATTGGATTTCTTTCCCATGTGACATCTGGAACAATAACACACTACGTTATTATAAGGCGTCATTAATGAATACTTAAGCAGTGTCCGCTTGTCTCAATCCATAACTAAGTGTCAGCAGAAGAGATCTTATAAAGCTTCCTAATTTCATAACACAAAAATTCTAGTTAATAATTTATTATTTAATTTCTTTAATTCCAAAGACCACATACATCATTAATAATAATGACAAGGAGATCTGAAAATCTTTTGATCAAAACACAGACACAAATACCAAAATGATTAAATGTAAATGGATTGGGAATAACATCCCTGATAGCATGTGCACCTTATTATTGTCAAAGGCTACATCTTATAGTGAAAAGCAATTAATTTTAAGTCAAGCCTCACCCCTTATTTTACAACTGATATTTAAATTGTAGTAAAAATATGGGAACTCAAAGAGCAACAAGGTTAGGAGCAGTAACAGATCATTAGGTCCATTAGAAACTGGCTGAAATGATCTGATTTTTAAGACTTCTTTCTGTTTTTGTGCCTGTTTGACCCACTGTAATTGTATTCAGGGATAATATTCTATTCAACAATCCATTAGAAATTCTTCCATTTTTTTCCATTTCTCTCTTAGTACAGTACTTCAGCAGACCAGACTGGGAAAGGGCTTAGATACACACTCCCATCAGTGATCAAACTCACTGTGGAAAGTTTTACCAGTCTCAGGGGATAAGAGGCACTCTTGGCTGAAGAATAAAGCTAGAAAAGCTAACAGTCCTTATATGGTGATAGTAACAAACACAGCAACTTGGACATTCCAGCCAGTAATTTATTCCATTTCCTACATTTAATAACTCGCTTATCTCAACAGACAATTCTCAACAACAAAACTTATAATGTTTACAGGATACCTCATATTTTAACAGTTTTCAAATGAATTAGACCTTTGTAACAAGGTGCTAGGTATGCACAGCACTGAAACATTCTTTTTATGTAAAGCAACAGAAAATTAGAATGTTCTGCTCACCAGAGAGCTCAAATTGACGTTTCTTTAATAGCATTCACTTTCAGCACTCTCTAGGGCAGTCTAATCAGTGATTACATAGGACCTTCCATGGCTGGGAGTTGAGGATTTAATGAAAGGGTGTTGATGGCTGACCAAATGACATCACAGAGCTGCTCTGACCTCAATGTGCCTCAGCCAATCAGCTCTGCCCTCTGACTATTTCACCCAGACTTGACATGGGCAGCTTAGAGCTGTGGAAGGGCATCCATCCCAGAAATGGTTCCAGACTCTAAATCCGTATTTTAATAATATAATCATGGGATATACTGCATTATTTTGCGGGGGGAAATGTAAAGGAAGACTCAATACCAGCTACTGAACTGGAATACTACTATTTTTGGACTTCCAAGGATGTTCCACTCCATTCAGTCCTATGGAAAACATTTAGACAGGGGTCCTACCTTTGATGACAAAAGCTTCTGCCAGCAGTCTGATGTGGTAGAGTGGCTGTTCCTCCATTGCCATGTCCTCAAAGCCCACCCTGTCACACATGCCCTGGGCATCCCTGTAGCAGCCCTGGACATAGTACAGTTTGGCCAGCAGCAACAATGCTTCAGTCAAGTACCTGGGCTGCAAGCAGAGAGGAAACCACAGGCTGCCATGAGACCTGGCCCTGTCACTCCCTTGTCAGGACACAACACTGGGACTTCTCAAAGGCAACTAAACAAGACATGCTTAGGACTCCCTAAGATATATATATATAACGTGTGCTCATGAATTGATGGGTATACTGTAGGTATGTATTAAGAAAAATGTAAATACGAATATATAAATAAGTGGATATAAAACAATTACGGATTAATTAGAAAAATAAATATGCCGGAGCCTTCCCAAATGAAGAAACTTTCCTTGAAGGAAACCTATTGGGAACCTTGAAAGGTATTTCATCTGAACGAGATGCTGGCAAATAAATAACACTGGAATCTCTTTGATGAATCTTTCATTCTTCAGTTTGTGGGGTGGACTAGACTATACTAGTCTGTGATCTCCTCAGTCTTGCTTTATTCCTTTGAATGCCATTCTTAGCCTTTGATGATGGCTGAGATGCACACTGGCTGTGGCTGATAAGGAAAATGGATGCACCCACTGAAGGTCAATGCTTTCTTTGAGACATTACAGAATTACACGCCCACATGGAAGCCAGACTGAAGGCCCATCCAGAGCCATCGGTCAGAGACACAATCAAAGGACCCTTCATGAGCACACGCATGAGATGTGTACTCACTTGCAGCTTGCCTCTGTTCAGGATAGAGCTAAGGAGCTCCTTGGCTTTCCTGAGCTTCGGCTGATTTGTCTCCTCTAAGGCAGTTGAGCTCTCCAGCTGGGACGTGTTTTCCAACAGACATTCCTCAAGCAGGGCTTCAGCCAGGAGCAGGTTCCCATAGTCATCTGGAGGAGGTGACACACAAAAGGGTGGGAAGTCAGCCAAAGTAAAGCAGCACAGAAGAGCAAAGAGCAGAATCCCACCATGACAAGCCAGCATCTGACTTTGGCTTTCAAAAGCAGTCATTGTTTATTTCTAGGAGCATCTTAACTCAGTTGTACAACACGATTTCAGCATATTGTTGTCACAGCATGATTGAATCTACCTTTCTCTGTCTTTGGCCCCATGAGAACGCTGACCTTGTTTTGCATGCTGCTTTATTTAGATTTCTGTGAAGCCATTTGAACCTCCATAATACAAACACACTGTTTCTCCCAGACCCACATGCTAAAGTGTCTCTTCAGAACATTCCTGACGTGTTATTGTTTCAGACAGTGGAACAATATCAACATCATAGCTAGGATAAACTAGTGGACCACAAAGCAAAAAGAAAAATTGCTCAACTTCCCTCTCTCAGGATAAACATAGCGTAACACTTCCCACTTCAATTCATGAACAATTCCCTCTGGCTACTGAAATAACTGCTATGAAGTGTTTTTATGAGCACATTTGAGATCTGTTTGCCTGGGTTTACTTCAGTACACATACAGTATAGTTCTGTGCCCAGTACCAAGAGTAACGTGCACAAGACAGAGACAAGCAGTGAACCGTGTTTGCAAAAGAACAGTTTTAAATCTGGGCTATTACCTTTCTGTTCTAAATTATAAAGGTAGAAAGGAAAAGATAAATTTATAGTGCAATGCTGATTTCATATGTCCTAGCATGTACTGTAGACAATCTTAGAATCTGGCTGGTACTCACATTCCTCAAAGTCAGTATCCATTAGAAAGCTATAAAACCACACCAATCTCTGTTTATTCACACTTAAACAAACACACGTGCTAATAGAGCAGATGTTCTGCCCAGGCCATTGAAAGGAATGCTACTCTTTCAGTTTTTAAAGGGGAAGAACACACCTCTCGTACTTATTCTTACAGTGCAGTGAGCAGATGGACAAAGCCGCATCATGCAGACAGGCTAAAGAAATCCAAAAGCTTGATCACAGTGAAGTCTCGGAAAATGATGAGAGGAGATGGAGTTAGCCGAAGCAGTTCAGAGAGCGAAGGCAAGTGGAAATAGTTGAAAAGGACAGGCATTAGTGGATGGGCTGCTCAGAGGCTGAGGGAGAGCACAGAGCTATCAGAGCTGCTCAGGGCTGGGTTGTAAGACCAAAGAGTTTCGGTTTGTAATTCTGGGGTGCTGACAGACAGACTGGAATTGAGAGAGACGGAGAAGGCAGGCCTGTTGGACTTTGAGCTCTAGACTGGTCAGAGGGTAGCTCAACGACAGAGCACTGGTCAGTGGCAGCTCAGGGTTTAAATATCCTGGGCTGATGAAATAAGCGCCCACTAATTGGAGGCAGGTAGTCGGGACAACCAGCCCGAGCAAGTCTGCACGGCCCCAGAAGGTGTTCGGCTGTTCCTGCAATGTGCGCCGTTTCCGTGGAAACCAAGGGCTGCTAGCTCTGGCTCGCCTAGGCATAATACTGTTTAAAGTACTCTGCTGAAACGGGCATGTTACTATTTCTTGACAGAACATGTTAATAATATTTATGGTAGACATTCTTTACCATATAAACAGCAAGAACCTTGGTTTTAGCTACTGAAATGCAGATGCTTCCCATTAATAATACTTTATGAGCACCAGAACCTACAGTATTAATATATATATATATATGCTACCAACTTATTAAACACTAAATAAGTTACAGTATATTTAAAAAGCCATATTTAAAGCAGATGTATTTGTATCATGCTTGAATTTATCACACAAAACCAAAGATCTTTCACGGAGAGGCTACAGAAAACAGATATTTTACCTGGTATGATAGAAAACCTGGTACAGTATGTTGTCTAAGCTCTTAAAAATATTTTTAAATTGAAATTTCTCATTGTTTTTTTTTTTTTACATAAAAAGATCAACTTCTCCCTCTCTTAAAAGTTCAGGTGACCGTCCTTGTGTTACATAATAACTTAACGACCAGAAACAACACTGTCAAGCAGGTGGATAAAAGTCACCTCAGATTTATTTACTTTACACACATGTATGCAGGCTGCATTCTGCATGTTTGAGACAACTCTGTAGGGTGGTTCTTGTGGTTCACAATTACAGCATGTACAGTAAGCAGGAAGACAGCCTTATTGGAAGGAATTTCTCCTCAAGTTCTATTTTAGAGTTACATGTGGAAAAACTGGCTTCCTCATGTGACTTACCAGACAGCTGTATAAAACTGCTATCTAGTCAAGAGACTAACAAACCTGTAATCTATATCTGTAAACCTACTGTGCATCACTTAATAATATTGTGTAAATCCTGTTTGGCACATTGTATAACACAAAATTTCCATGTAAATGTCCATGTACTCATGACATATTCCTTGAATGGTAATCTATAGAAAGCTCTTTTAGTTTTAAAGTCTAAGGTGTTTTTGAATTTTTAATGTTTGTTAAAAGGAAATCTGACAGGACTTATAAACAAGGTTGAGGGAACACATTCATTCAAAAAAAAACATTAAAAATGCAAGTCCAGGGCGACAGAATGAAACACTCTGAACACAAAAACGATTACTTTGTAAGTAAATTTCCTACTTACCACAAATTAAGCAAAACCACTAGATCTAGAAATAGCACAGAACTGCGTTGTAACATAAAAATCAGAATGGCAATAATCCATTGAATCTAAAATTTGAAGATGAAAAGGAGTTCTTATCAGTTAGGTATTAGTATCATGCAGCAATGTAAACTTCTGTACGTAATGTGTAAACTCTAAGCTGTGTTTTAATTCAATCTATCACTCAATATAAATTCGAATTCTTCACTTTTAGCACTCGCACCACAGTGCTTGCACAACTCTGCAAGATGAACGTGGCTACTTCCCTAACTTTGGTCAGTGAATCGAGTCACACGTTTTGCATTTGAAGTTACTGGAACAAATGACTGACTTTGTAAGTACAAAGTTCAGCCCTGACTGTAAAGGCGGAACCACTACTGTATTCTCTTGCCTGTGTATTTTTTTTTGCGGTTGTTTTTTTATAATTGAGAGAGCGACAAATTCCTCCTAAACACTCACCATCTTCGTGTATTCGAGCCGAAATGAGTTGCTCTACCAGACCGGGTATCTTGTCCCACTGGCATTCGCCGCGACACCTCTCTATCTCAGCCTCCAAACGGTACTGAGAGAACGATATCCTAGCTGCCATGCTCCTTGATAACGATAACCGTAATCCACAGTCACTGAGCCCGCTGGTGACTGACAGGCAATCAAAAAGTAAACTTTCTCACTGAGCATGTGCGACTGGAAAGTGACTTGTGTTTAAGTACTATACAGTGAGTGGGATTTACAATCTTCCTGGATGTAACGCAGCTACAGTGAAGATTTAGAATAACGACATAATTTGCTGTTGTTACAACATCATCAGCTTTCTTTCCTGTTGATGTGATTTAAAAAAAAATACAAAAACAAACCAAATAATTACATTGTGTTTGTTGTGTATGTTTGTAAGGAACATTCGTCATCGTAGACTTGCTTATGTTTGTTGTTTTTTTTTTGCTTTTAAGTGTAATTATATATATATATCTTATTTTTCATAACATTATGCGTTACCTTAAGAAAAAAACTCTAAGATCTACAGTACAATAACCTTTCCTCTTCCCATACTGCTCTGCTTTTTGTTAGGGAGTGTTGAAACAAACTGGGCCTCTGTTTACACAGTTGATTAATAACAACCTTTAAACAACAAAGCTGATAATGATCACCTACTGCTCCGTATTAAAAAACACTAGTTTCTGGTAGATCTGCCGAAACACTGACTTCCACATACAGCTTTAAATGGAGCACATTACAATGAAATGCTTGAATGTCAAATCACCTAATATTTCATCGTGAAAATGCAATAAACCCAGCGTCTGACGTTATTGTCTAAACAGTAATTGAGCCTTTTGAGGTTGTTAAATTTTAAGTGCTCCGAAACTGAAAATAATGTGCTTCTAAATTACGCAATAGTGCCTCCTCGTGGATACAACGAACTTTGACTATGGTAAAGATTATTTTTTTAGCCCCGTAAATATAAACTGGCGGGGTGATAGACGCAATTATTGCTTTCATTGTCAAACAGATGTTTTGCATTTCTTTGCCACTTTAAGTTTCCTACAACAGTTTCCTCTATGAACTGGCTACATTACTCTGCTCTCCTCCCCACTGAGAGCTGATGTGTGGTGAGTGTACTGGTGCACTATGGCTGCTGTCGCATCATCCAGGTGAAGCTGCACATTGGTGGTGGTGGAGGGGAGTCCCCATTACCTGTAAAGCGCTTTGAGTAGAGTGTCCAAAGCGCTATATAAGTGTAAGCAATTATTATTATTATTATTACAACAATAATAGTATTGTCGTGCTTAAAATTGTATTCTTCTTAAACAATCACGCAAAAAACAGTATATGTTGTGCTTTATAATACATTTACATCATTATGTAAACCCCATAATGACTAACAAGGTGCATGTTAGCGATCTGAAAAAAAAACAGCCAGCCAGCCGTTGTTTTAACAGAGATATTGATATAAATAACGGTAACATTAGTTTAAGATAACAATAGCTGTGTTGTCTTACAAGTAGAAACTACAGCTGTTGTTTTGGTTATATCGTTTTACTGATGTCTGATACTGTGATAAATAAACGAGTATTTTAACCCCGCCGTTACAAACTAAAAGACGACTACTTGTACTACTGTTTTGAGTTATTGAATGTGTGGGGATTACGTCACCGAAAGCTCATTCGGCGTCATTTACCTCTTACATGAACTGAAAGTTCTCCTTTCGTTTTGAATGTTTAAGAGAATTAAAAAAGGAATCTGGATTCGCGAACTAGGAAAGTAAGCATGCGATACAGTGTTTAGATGTTGGTTTCATGTTCAATCTTATATGGGCCGAGCTAAACATCTCTGTACAAAATTCATAATAATTCCTTACATTCGTGTTGCATTATCACCCCCAAATTATTCTAAATCTAAGATCTGCTTCATCCACCACCTTAGTTTGGCATCCAGTGCACCGCAGATTAGAGACAAGTGAGATACCGCTTCTAGACCGAAATAAGGAGGAGATCGTGCAAACCCAGAGTGAAATACAGGCAGGACAATAACTAACATCCTTATTCTTACGAACAGTGCTATGGGGTGAACAGTTACTCAGGATCGTGTTTGAACATCTGGATTCAGTCATTTTATGGCTGGAAGGCTGCCGCTTCAAATCCCACAGCCGGCAGAGAAATCCTACTGCGTGTTGCCCCTGAGCAAAGCCCTTAACCCCGACTGCACCAGGGGGCGCTGTGCAATGTGTCTACGTGTCTCATGGAGAGCAACCTGGGGTATGCGAAAAGACGAATTCCTAATGCAAGAAATTGTATAGGGCTAATAAAGTGATGTTAAGTTATGAGACACTGGATTAGAAACGGAAGTCTGGGGGGATGTGCCACCTTCTATCAAATAGACCTTGCTGTCTACCAACACAGCTTCCAGCACCAACTCGCTTTTTTCTTCTGTCCTCCCAATCCAATACTGATTAGTAGACCCAGCCATCCTGAGTTTGACGAATTTAAGGTAATGGCCTGTAGGTCTGCTGATGCATAGTGTACGATTTCTAAAGTACTAAACTTTACAGTTACTGGACGTTTAAAATATTTTAAGTAATCAGACTTTTTCTGGATAGATGGGGATTTTTCTCTTGCTCTAGAAGCATTTAAATACATATATTTAAAATAAGGTAATGTATGTTCTTGAGCATGTCTGCTATAGGAAGCGAAGAAGCAATCACTTGGTTTACGTTTCAAAGAATCCTTGACATTTTTCAATCAGCCTTTACTCATTCACAAAACCAGAATTTCACTAACATGTACAAACGTCTTGTCACACGATACAGTAGCCTTAATACCGAAAATGTGTCGTCAGAGAAACGGATCAATTCAAATCTAGCAGACTACATAATTCAAGAGCTGTGTATACCTTCGTGCTTAGTTCTTGGTGCTTTTCTCCAACCTAATAATACTGCCGAGTCATAAAGGTTAGACTACACTTTCAAATAAACCATAACCGTAACACCTTATCTCTATAATCCAGGAAGTGTTCTGCTTTTACTAGAGGTACGTGGAAAAACCTCAGGAGGAGGCGGAATCGTACTTTTTGACAATTTTAGCCAATCACAGAGAGACGTCGTGTCCTTAGGTGAAAGGTCACTACGGCAAAGCATAAGGACCAAAATACAGTGGAAAAAATTGCATAGACGAAAGTATCGCTCCAAGCGAGTCAGGGTATTTGTACAGGAAAGGAAAGAAAACAAAGGAAATTGGTGAGTGTGGAAGTGATTTGATTGGGCCATAAAGGTGTGTAAAATAGGCTTAATAAGAATATACATTTTTTATTGAACTAATTTCAGACTGACCTGCACCAACTCGTGTCGAATTGCAGCTGCTCTGCTGGGATCCTCTCGATTACACTGTTCAATTAAACACTGTTTATGATTAGTTTACAGCTAAACTAACACTAAATAGTAAATCGACAAAATTAAAGACATTTAGGCTGTCTTAAGTTTATACCTGTGTGGGATCATTAGAACACGCTTTTTATTAAGTAATCTAGGATGTCCGACTGTCTATAGCTAATGTATGATCGGTGTTATTAGCATCAACAGCGGTAATTTGTTACCGTTATAACATATCATTTGAGATAAAGAAGACCTATGTAATGAGGGGGTGTGAAGCACTCGAAAATAACAAAAAAATATGTATCTTGTTTTTGCTGAATTGCGTATTGATCAACTAAGAAATGGCATTCGCCAGCGTTCAAATTAATGTTGTCTGATCATACATCGAAAATACACACCTTTTAATAGCCACTTGTTTGACTATATAAACTCATTTTGCTTTTTCTGTATTAGCTTATATTTCTAGGTGCAGAAGGTACGATAGTAATAACGTCGTATGTTTCTGATAATCCGTTAAGCACGTACATCAGTTTACAAATATGTACAAAGTATCTATTGTCAACGTAGGCGTGTTTAGTTCATAAACGAGAAGGTTTTAGAAACTGCAATTCGATCTGTACAGCAGATACAATTATTTTTTCACATGTACAATGAATACCAAGATCTGCTCTGAGGTGGGGACTAACTACCTACTAGTTATGGAAAGATGTAAGAGAATGGTTTTCAGAACCAGAAGCCTGAGACATTTGCAGTTATGCTACAGGTTGATATTTCTTTAGAAGAGCTTTAGTTAATAGATAATTGGATTCGGCAGACTGTTCTGCTGATGAAATGAGGTCATGACTAAAGAAATCACCTAAATGGGATTTTAACCAAGACAAAAAGGTTGCAACAGTATCTGTCTTCCAAGAGACTTTAACTGCAGATGAATTCATGTGATATTCTTATTCCCTCAGGAGAAAAAACACTATTTATGTCTGAAGAACTGACTTTTTTATTCCAACAGTATCCACGCTAGGCGGGATATCTCCAATGACAGTAAGGATATGTCACAATGCTTTAGAATAATGTACTTTCTTTACCAGATTAGGCTAAGTGTCTTTAGTGTTTTTATTTACAGTAGGTTCTGGATTTAAATCTCAGGTGGGTCACTGTGGGTGGCCTCCTGTGAAAGGTTCCTCTATAGATTGGTACAGTTGTAAGTCCCTTTGGATAAAAGTGTCAAACATGTGACTAATAAATGGCACAATTAAAAATATATTTCCCTAAAATGGTTTTGTACAAATGTTTGGCTCTGTCTTTGCAAGCTTCAAGATGGTCCTCATGTGTCATGGGTTGATAATTGACCTTTTATGTTCATACACCTCTTAAATTTCTTCCAAAATATTTTATTGCTCATTAAAATCTGAACATCTGATGAAAATACAGTGTTGTCTTTAAAATGTAATGGTAGGGAAGTCTTCAAAAGCATTTCTGAAACGTTTGCAATCTTAAATACTATGAACAACGCAGAGTTTAAAAATGGAGTCAGTTGACAGTGGATCTTTACCCACTATTTCCACAGGAATTGTCTTCAACACAGGCCACCTGTAGAGTGCGTTGAGTTCAGCATCTGAGGAGTGCGTCGGTGTCCTGCACAGTTGGCTGGTGTGAGAATGCTGTGGAAAGGCAGAGCCGGCTGGAGCAGCATGTTCAGCTCAGCGCTATTGCTCAGCTGCTTGTTGTCAGCCAGAGCACAAGATCACGGGCAGCCTGATGTAGAGGTTGCTGAGGGGCACCGGCCCAACCTCAGACTTGACAAAAATATTGTCCAGGATAAAGAGTAAGTACAGAATTATTCTGTTGGCTTCCCCAACTTTGATGAATTAGCAAATCATAGATTCTTATTAAAAAGCTAAATACTTGTGTTTTTTTCAATTTGCATTTGATATTTCCCCAACGTTACCATTTTTGGGCTTCAGACTGCGTACCATCAGGACCTCCAAGGATTATAAATGTATAAGTCTGACACATTCTATCACTACATCATTCATCATACAATGTGAGAAGCTTTACATGAAAGGTTCAGGTAAAGGTGGCAAAGCTTTTACATAAATTCACTCAATTTGGGATGTGCTCTGGAGTCTACTGTAAATGTTTTTAGTTGAGGACCTGTACATTAATGATACTAATGCAAGGAATTTCAGGCATCTCTCTTCTATGTGTCAAAAATTACTTTCTACCAAGTACATGTACAATGCCTCGTTGTAAAATTTTATGATTGAAAAATAAAAGTCAAGCACAGCTGTTCAGGTTCAGTCAAATAAAACTGGGCAAGGATACGATTTTTGTTTTCCAAAATTATTTTCCGAACCAAACTGTTTTGTCTTTTTTCTGCAGCCACATTATGGAACATCTAGAAGGGGTGATTGAGAAGCCAGAGTCGGACATGACTCCTCAAGAGCTGCAGCTCCACTACTTCAAAATGCACGACTATGATGGGAACAACCTGCTGGATGGATTAGAGCTTGCAACTGCCATCACTCACGTTCACAAAGAGGTTGGCCAAATCTCATGGCGCTCTGCTAGTCAAAGATTAATTTAGCAGCTTAGCATCAAACCCAACAATCCTGAGAGGCTTTTCATCCTGCGATTTTGCGAAACATCTTTTGAAATTATATTGCTTTAGGCTTAAACTTATTTTTGCATTGTAATTACCAATGGGCCTTATGTAGTATTTTACATACTGTATATAATTTTGTTTTCCAGGAAAGAGGAGAAACCAGCCAACCCATGAAAGAAGAAGACCTCATTAGCTTAATAGATGATGTGCTTCGAGATGATGACAAGAACAATGATGGATACATTGACTATGCTGAGTTTGCAAAATCACTAGAGTAATCAAAACACTGTGTTGACAGTTGTGTATGTTGATAATTTAAGAGCTGAAATCCACATTTAACGCACATCCCTCCTTAAAGTATTTCAAGCAGTAGACCAATTGCTGAAGCTTCTTGGTATTTTTTCAAATCACAGTTGAGTTCAGATTTTTTTATATTACCAGCATCTGCTTTTGAAAAAACTAGATTTGAAGATAACTGCCATAATAGTGTTCATATTGAAGAGCTACGTTAATTTACTGTAATTTAATCATAGGGTGTTGAATATTAGTCAACACTGTATTTTCATCAAAACCTTTTGAAATGAGCCATCTTTTGTAGTTATGTTAATATGCTGCCATGTGTTGTAACTGAGGGCTTTAAAATTGTAACGTGAAAAGAAAAAATCATGTGAATGGTTTGGAGACAAAAATCATCAAAACAGTTAATAGAAAGACTTTTAAATATACTGAGAGGTATTAAAAATGCAGTTAATACTATTGGCTCCAATACTTATTTGTTGAATTTTTAATGCCTACCAGTATATGTGCAGTGAACGATTCCTTTGTTTCATACAAATCGTAATGAAGAGAGCAATGATTTTCAACAAAGGATTTTGTGCTTCAAGTTAACCTACTGTAATTCTGTGTTTGTAAAAAGAAAATGCATCCATTCGATGAAAGTGTTTTGCCCAAAACTGCACTGGTTTTCTTGCAGCCTTTGAATTCATTATAAAATTTTATTTTTACATGGACAACAGTTACATCTGTGAAGGATGGGAAACAGAAACCACAAAGGAACAGAAGGTTTCTTAATAAATATTTTTAAATCAAAGCAAAGCGTGATCCATAGTGATCCTCACACCTGAAGAAGGCTTCACAGACAAAACGTTGTGTTTTCTCTCTTCTCTTTTCAGTAGGGAATAAACCTACAGTATTACTTGTTCCTTTGCAGACTACACATGCTGACGCAGCAACCTACCTGAACTGTGTGTCTATTTAACTTGATGCCTTTGTGCAAAACAACAGCAAATTATTTTTTAGATCTGCAAACTTGGAAAATGTTTTAAGTACAATCCCACAAATTGGTAGATAAACATCTTAACTGTCTTAGATTTTCATATATCTGAGAAGGATATGAAGTACTGCTTAATTTTACCATAATCAAAAATATTTAGCAAAAGGTCCTAAAGAATACAAAAAGGTTTGCTTCTCCTTAATTATACACATGACAGTCACAGAGCGAAAGCACGTCCTTTTCCTGGTTCTGCAGTGCCGTACTTGCAGAAGAAGCATTGCTGATGTGGAGTCGATGATTGTACTGAGCGGAGAAGGTCTTGAATTGTGAGTGTTTGGACAGGCTGTGCAGCAGACTGGAGTAGTGATGGCCTGTACAGTATACAGAAAAGTACTGTTGAGTGCATCATTGAAGGCGCTGTGACCCAGTAAAGATGTAAAGTAAGAAACTTAATGCATTAGTGACTCTGTACAATTAAAATGTCAGGACCATGGTGGAATATTGTCTTAATGTAAACGTTGCTGCTTGTGCGCGCTTAAACCTGTTTATTGCACATTTTACAGCCAAGTTTAAAAAGCTACATATTAATGTGTATTGTACACATTACATTAATGTTTTACTGGTGCAAGAAGACTATAAATGTGTTGATTTAATTTCAACATAATTTTCTACAGAAAATCCAAAAACAGCTCTATTGTTACACTTTTTTTGTTTTCAAAAACCATTTTCTAAATATTAAATTCTGAATTTTGTAAATTCAGTGAATTATTGAAAGGTTATCTAAGATGCTCAAGAATGTCTACATCTTGCAGTTTTATTATATAGTGACAGATTATAAACTTTATCAAAGTTTTGTTGATGTACCTTTAATAAAAGGAATCATGTAAATCCATATTGATCTGGGCTTAGTTCCTTACTTGAGATGCCAATGTTGAACATTTAAAGACTCACAGTCAAATGCAAATGATCTTGTGGTTTTACATGAATAATGAGTTGCAAACAATGACAGATGACATTGGTAAACGCCTGCATTAAAATTGGTCAGTATCTACTAGAATTAAATCAAAATGGCAAAACTGGTTGCTAACCACTTTGCAGCTGCCTTAGATCCTGTTTTGATTTGTGCTTCTAAGAGGTTTTCTTTTTAAATTTCAGGTAAGTCTGTACACACAGCTGTACCAGCTGCATGCATTACACTGTAGAAGCTATGCGTTCAGCACTCCACGTGAAGCAGCTCTGTTGTTTGTATGGAGACACTACTGCACTACAGTTAAAGTCATGATTACTTTGAAACTTCATTGTATCTACCACCTGTGAATTTCAAAACCGAACCCTTGCTTGCAACTTTCCATTGAATAGGAGCAAGAAGCAAATGAAACTTTCCATTGTGTATCGAGTGTGTAAATTGAGAATGGGATCGCGTTTGCTTTAACCCAGGCCTAAGGCTCTGGATTACATTGCAGCGTTTAAGACTTTACGCGCTAATCTACACGTAAAAGGATAGCGAAGAAGAAAGATGCGTGGCACCTTTAGCTCCAGTGTGGTGGGGGCTCCAGTCCAGGCATGGAGGCCAGGGAAAGCATGGGTGGGGGCAGGCTGGGTGCCGGTCCACCGATGGCACGCAGCGGGCTGTACCAGTCTTCGTGCTGCAGCGGGGGGGTCGGCCCTGACGATAGGTGCGGGTGGCTGCTGGCGCAGGAGAATTGGCTGACGGCCGGAGCGGGGACGTAACTGCTGGGGATGACCGAAGAGAAGCGGGGGATGTGGCTGATGGTGTGGCTGTACTGGTACTGCCGCCCCGCGGAGCTCACTGCACACACTCCCCCCATAAACCCGCTGCAGCCGGGGATGACCGCGGGCAGTGGCTTCTGCGCCGCCCGTTCCTGCTTCCGGTGCTTCGCTCTCCTGTTCTGAAACCACACCTGTGGGCAGAGGCGGTCAGAGCTGGAGTTCAGGCAGCGAGAAAGCGGTGAAGAGAACTAGCTAATTGAACTCGCATAACTAGAAAGCACGGCCGTTTCATCACCGGACGGGGCACAATTCACAAGCTCTGTTCTTTTACCTTTCAGGCTCCTGCAATTTAAGATGCTGGAGAGCTAAAATGCAAATAATGTATACTGAGAATCTAATCACCATTCCAATCTTCAATTTAAAATCACTAATTCCTTAATTTGTGTGGGTCCTAATATGCCAGTATGGTAGTGGTATCCCAGTATATGATGGGGACACTATACTGTAACAAAAAGGCGCCGTCCTTCGGATGAGACAAAAAAGGTCCAGGGGGTTTCTCGGTAAGCGTCGAAGTGTTACCCCCACAATTTCCCCTGGCCTTTACTAATCATGGCCTCTTAATAATCCCCATCTATGACTTGGCTTCATTAATCTGCTCTCCTCCCCACTGAGAGCTGATGTGTGGTGAGCGCACGGGCGCACCCCGGCTGCCGTCGCGTCATCCAGATGGGTGCGACGCCTTGGTGGTGGTAAAGCGCTTTGAGCGGAGTGTCCAGTAGAGCGCTATATACTGTGAGTGTAAGGAATTATTATTTAAGCAAAGGAAAACCCACCTTGCAGTTTCCCTCACCTGTATGCGCGCCTCGTTAAGTTTCGTCACCCTGGCGAGGTCCTCTCTACAGTAGATGTCCGGGTATTGGTTCTTATTGAAAGCCGCCTCCAGGTGTTCCAGCTGCTCCTGGCTGAAGGTGGTCCGATGCCGCCTGCGAGCGGGAGTCGGGTAGTGACCCGATTGGTGTGAGGAGAACTGCATCCCAGCGCTGCTGACCTGGGCCTTTTTGAAAGTGCTGTCGACATCTAGATCAGAGAAAATTAACATCTCTGAAATAATAACAACATCTCTGAAAAGTAACAACGATTGAAATAATGAATCCCTTCCTTTTAGAGGAGGCTTAGATATTTTCCAAGCGGACCTTTTGTTGTCACACAATTTAGTTTTTTTTTTTAAAAAAAACAACGTATTTATGTGTGTATTTAATGAGAAGATAAAAATCCAACAAAGTTGCTTTCTATACTCATTTGTTAAGTTTTTAATGCCTCTCACTATACGTTATATATGTGCATGTAAATAAAACCCACAAAAGGTTGCCAAATTAGTCACTTCTGCCGACTTTGAAATAGACTAAGGAATAAATTGCATCGCAATATTTTAAAAGGAGCTTTTGTTTTAAAAGAGGTTGCCGTAAATGTTCTACTTTACCTATGAACATAGGCAGTCGAGTTATTGTTATATGCTTGTTGAGTGCAGGTTTTACATTTCTTCATTTTACGAACCACGTCTCTTCTCCTCTCACAATACCGACTCACAACTGGGATCGGATTCACAGAATGTTGTGCAGAAAGAGGTTTGTGGTTATCAGGGAGGTCAGACTTGCCGGACTTTAGGCTTGGACCGCACAATGGGAAACACTGCTTTAAAACGGATAGTTTAATATTATTTTTAGTTTTTAGTTCCCGTTTGAAAACCGCAAACGATTCTCTTTTCTGTTCTGGGAGAAACCAGGATGCTTTTTTTATTTCACATGTCTTAGTTCAGATAGCTTATGTTACCTGTAGCCTGACAGGTATTAAAAAGGAATCTGAAGTTGTTCACCGAACTGAAGTTCAACACTCGGACTACTCCATTCTCCTGTCTCCGCCAACAGACTCCCGGCGTTGCTGGTGTTTAAAAGTTTTCATTCATGCCTTAGATCCTGGGATTAAAATGTACTTACTTACCCCACCAAACTAAGGGAACCTAAGTACCACCTGGCCCTGTCCCCACAATTCAATATCGTGAGAAAGGGAGAACAGAGACACGAGGATGTTGTTCAGATTAGCCGAACAAAAGCCAAAACAGCGACTCAATTTGTCCAAAGTGGACCATAGTTCTACAAGCTGAAGCCGTCAGTCGACAAAATCAGCACAATACTGGGAAGTGACGGCCAGCAGAATGACATTTTAATACCTTCGGCTTTGGGATTTTTTTAAAAAGTCAATCAACAAAAAAGTCTCACATATCGAAAAATGGATGTTCGTGGCGTCATCCTGAAAAAACGAGCCCTTGAGCTCACTATCGAATTCAGCAGTGATAGATTTGATGCAATTCTTATTCCTCCACATCTCTAACGACTAGTTGTTTGCACATCACGCCTGTCATTTCAGATTACTCTTGGCTACACAAGAACATTTGAACTCCGGTTATTCAATTTATGTGATGTTTTTTTTTTAACATTGTAGACAACCGGTACAAATCAAGCAAATCAGTGAAAAAACATGCCTACTGTATGTTTACATGCTATAAAGAATATTTAACATAGGCTACGTTATACACAGTAGATATGAATATTGTTCTATTAAATGTTAAAAATAATGTATATTACAATTATACTTTAAAACCTCAAGACATTTAGAGATAATAAGCTATTATATTATAACTGCACAGAATTCTATTTTATAAAATGTTAAATGATCTCCCGACAAATACAACCATTTTAATTGACGTTTTTTTTTATTTAAGGTACCAAAGCAGTTTTTAGTTTATGAAGCAGTACCTAATTCTTTAGCAATACACGACTTTAAAATTGCATGTCAAGATATCAGTCAGCATTATAAACCGAAACTTTAAATATGCGACTCTGGCTAAACCTCTTTCAAATGACAGCTACTTGTACATTAATATTTTGATACCAAAGTATATTTTCTAGCTACTGTAAGTTAAATAGCAATTATTCTGTTTTGCAAAGGACCTATGTTTGGCCTTTCATTGGCTGGATATAGTTTAGATTTTGCCGCTGCTGAGATTTATGGAAAGTTGGTGTTACATCATTTCCAAACATCTAAGGATGGTCAATGGCCTTTTACCAATGGCCTTTTCATAACGACAGCGTCGTTGAGTACATATCACAGAGGTAGCAAAACATTTTATATTTACAGTAAACTCAAACTACCAAACTGTTATTATTTTTCTTGTCTTACTAAGAAAGACCTGCTCCTGCCATCCGGATGGATAGAATAATAATAATAATAATAATAATAATAATAATAATAATAATAATAATAATAATAATAATAATTGCTTACACTAATATAGCGCTTTTCTGGACACTGCACTCAAAGCGCTTTACAGGTAATGGGGACTCCCCTCCACCACCACCAATGTGAAGCTTCACCTGGATAATGCGACGGCAGCCATAGTGCACCAGTACACTCACCACACATCAGCTATCAGTGGGGTCAGTATATACTGGATATGCTTTCTGCAGTATTAACTAGTTAGAAACAATCACGCGATGTCATTCGTTTGCTTGTTTCGAACATATTAATTAACTAAATGTGTTTCGCAACACTATACCAAATTCGATTTAAGTATGTTGTAGAATACGATAACTAGAACTCAGATAGTTCGCAATAAAGAAGGTAAAATAACCCATTCTGGGTGATTTTTAAGTTAGTCTAACAACAATAGTAATATAACGGAAAAAGAAGGTGAATAGCATAGATCCCATTCACTGTTACAGCCTATGGATAAATAACTGTTGAAAAACAACATCTTCACTGAGCCGGTGGATGGCTTGTGTGCACAGGTGAGGAACGGTAACTCGCCTGCAGTGGAGCTCACGGAAGCGACGTCTGAGTAGAGGTCAGGGTATTCCTCACACTTCCTCGTGCTGGCCCCTGGCACTGACGCCCTCTCTGCCATGGCTCGGCTCCGGGTGCCACTGCAGCGCTCTCAACGGGCCTGTCCTGCGGCCACCTTTTACTCTGGGGCACCGTGACATCACCGCCGCTCTCCAGGACCACGCAAGCCAATCACACCTCTCGGAGTATTCGTCCTTCTTGGACATTATGTCGCTTTCTTTCCACAACACTCAAATGCACTGGAGAAGAAGAATAGAGAACAATACTATTCGTTTCACTTCATGTGCATATACAGTACTGTAGTACATTTCAAATATTGCATTTGGACAGTAGAGTTGAAAATAAATATTGAAAAAGGCCCAACTTATAGATCATTTGAACTTGCAATCGAAATGCGCCTCGAGATGCACAAGTCACGGAACGCCATAACATTTTATTAGATCTTAATTTATTGCATAAAATATTCATTCATTGATTGTGCGGCCTGCTGAATGCCGTTGTCTCTGGCACCTTTTGATGAGAAACGGGAAATATTTGAAATTAAAAATGATGAAAGAAAACGAAATTATATTAAATTATATGTAGTGCATTAAAAACTACACTAAAGTTCTAAGGGGCTACTAAGCCTGCCGCCAGCGTTAAAATAGAAAAAAGTATAAACAACATCTCGTTTACCCTTACATAAAATCGAAAGCCAGAGGTAACTGAAGCAGGATAAACAATTGCTTACAAATAATAAAACTATGGTGTTAGAGCCCGAAATACAAATTGTGTCAGCAAGCGCTGTGACGGCTATAATTGTCTTCACTGTGTGTCTTGAAGCCTAGGACGCGATACAGTCATCTACTGTAAATGTTGCAGTTAAAAATAAAGAATATTAACAAATTCGTGTGGCAATTCACGACTCCAAAACACAGATTCACTTCAAAAGATAAAAGTATCCTAAAAACCACATTAAAAAAAGAATCTTATATTTAATGTTTCTGCTTGCAGCTAGTTTTCAATCAAGGTCAGAAAAAAAATAATTACACCAGTCCTATAACGTGTCCCCTGTTGTTAAATTTTCTGTGTGTGAAGGTATGTTTTATAATCAATGTGCAGATAAAATTCGAGAAAACATCACTACCGATGTATTAGTTATTGA